ACCTTTGCTCAGAGAGTTATGGACCTCGCTGACTACAGAAAGAAGCTTTATGATTATCTTGTTGCTAAGATGAGCGACATTGCCCCTAACTTGGCGGCCTTGATTGGAGAAATGGTCGGTGCCCGTCTGATTTCACATGCTGGAAGTCTCACTAACCTTGCTAAATGCCCATCTTCCACACTCCAGATTCTTGGAGCAGAGAAGGCGCTTTTCAGGTTCAATATCATTGAGCTGTCTTTCTATTTTTTCACAAGTTTCTTTTAGTGCGGCGTGTGACATGAATCGCTGCGGTGTTACAGGGCGCTTAAAACACGTGGAAATACACCCAAGTATGGCTTGATTTTCCATTCCTCGTTTATTGGCCGAGCATCTGCTAAGAACAAGGGCCGTATTGCCCGTTATCTTGCAAACAAGTGCTCTATAGCGTCCCGGATTGATTGTTTTGCTGGTAAAAAGAATCTGTAAACGCCCTGGAGAAGAGCATTTGGTTATATGAGATATATTTTAAATATGTGCCCTGGTGTCGCTTTATGCAGATGGCGCAACAACGGCCTTTGGTGAGAAACTTCGTGAGCAAGTTGAGGAAAGGCTAGACTTTTACGACAAAGGTGTTGCCCCACGTAAGAACGTGGATGTAATGAAGGAGGTGATTGAGAATCTGCAAAACAAAGGTATTTCTTATAAAGCAAATACAAAAATGGCATGCAAATTTCAGTTTCGGTGGTGGACTCAGTGTTTGCTGGGTTAGGTGAGGAAGGGGAAGAGACAGTGGAGGCGGCCTCAGCAAAGAAAAGCAAGAAGAAGAAGGCAAAGGGTGAAGAAGGGGAAGAGGAGGCAATGGATGAGGACAAGTCAGAGAAAAAGAAGAAGAAAGAGAAGAGGAAGATGGAGACGGCAGATGAGAATGAGAAATCAGAGAAGAAGAAGAAAAAGAAGAGTAAAGCTGGAGGAGACGAGGCGACTGATGATGGTCAGAGCAAGAAGAAGAAGAAGAAGAAGTCTAAGAGCGAGGATGACGACGAATAGAGACAAAACCATGTATTCTATATTTTTAAGCTAAATGTTTTCTTTTTTGCTAGCAACGCTGGGTGATCTATGTTTTATTCTGAAAACGATTTTGGTAACATCATAACTTAAATTTGTCCATCATATTAGGCTATGTTGTTTCTGTGTTACAGTTTTGAATCCCGCTCTCACGTTAGTAACACATTTTTTTTTTCCGTCAAAAATTATTTTTTATCAATCAACTTGCTTTACAAAATGTTTCATTTTCTATTTTTGTAAGATTAAAATGTTACAAGTTAAAGATTAAAACTAATTTGCCATTTGTGGCAAAATTTTTGCATAAGTAATAAAAAAGATGTAAAACGAAAGTGATTATGTATGATGAGTCATGACTTTTTTTTTTTTTTGAGCAAGGAGATGAGTGATGACTAACTCGTTCAATGCACACATCTCTATATTATTATTTGAACAGACATTTTAAAATATAATCTTTATTTTGTAGAATATTACATGATATATCATTACAAATAACAAAGAATAATTAAAATAAAAAATGATATAGTTGTCTTTCAACTCTATTGCTAAAAAAATGAAAAGTTTTTATTTCTCATTTAAATGAGTATATTTATTATTTAATTTCTAAATTTAAAAATATGATAGTTTTTTATTATTTTTATTTTCAAATGATATTATAAAGTAAATTTAATTAAAAAACGTGAAAATAAATTTTTCAATTTAGAATTATTATAAAAATCAAAATTAAAAGTTATGAAATTAAAAAAGTGGTGAAGTATTTTTTTTAAATAATTTGATACATTTGATTGATTATATACAAAAATACTTTTTTAGTTATTTTACTAAAAATTTGATATGAAAAATTGATTTTTAAATAAAAAAAGTTTGTAATGAAATGAGAGTTATTGAACGGTGAATATTATAATTAATTATTAAATTTTAATCCAATATTAAGATGTTAAGTAAACGGGTTAGTTCGATATGAACAGATTATAATTTTAATTTTTAATACCCACAAAAAATTCTCAAAATTCAAAATATTAATTTTTGAAAATATGTAATATATTCAATCTACTAAATTATATATATATATATTTAAATTAAATATAATTTGTTATATATTTATTTATTATATATCAAATCTAAGTGTAAAGAATATTATATAATTTTCATATATAGTTAAAAAGATAAAATTAAATTTTTATAGTTTGTGAACAGATTATAAATGTTAATTATTAAACGATGCAAATTATAATTGATGATTATAATATTATAACTAGATATTAACCCGCGTTGTAGCGCGAGAACCATTTTTTATCTTCAATTAAGTTAAATAATTTTACAAAAATAGTTATTTTATAAAAACAGTTATTTCTATAAAGTTTATGATAATATAGTGCATATTTTGTAAATTTTTAAAAATGAGTTGATCCGTATATAGAATTTTTAGTTTAGTGCTAATGGGTTTAAAACAACTTATTTTGCTTTACACGCTTATAAAATAACTTCATATATGGATTAACTCATTTTTTATAATTTAAATATATATATATATATATATATATACAGATCAACTCATTATTTAAAATTCACAAAAATATGCACTATATTATTGTAAACTTTATAACAATAACTGTTTTTACAAAAGAACTGTTTTCATAAAATTATTTAAATTAATTAAAATTAAAAATATATCTTCTGCGCTATAGGGCGGATTAATCCCTAGTATTTTTTAATCAATTAGCAATTAACTGGTTCAATGCACACATATATTTTCGAATCAACGTTTATAATATAATTGCTAATTAACTGCAATTAATTGATAATGTAATTTTTAGTGGATGGTTGCGTGATCTCATCTCGCCTGCTGTTTTTTTTTAATTTCTTGCCATTTTCTTCCTTGCAATTGCAATGCTGAAGCAGATTTGTTGGCAAAGGGAGCACTTTTAGCTCTCCAAACTTACAAGAAAAAACAAAGGGAATTAATTCATTAACATGATGAGTAATAATTTGTTATTGATGTGTAGCTGTAAATATGTTTTTGTTATTAAAAAAAAAGTAAGAGTATGAAGCTTGTAGAATTTTAATTAGAAAATTAATGTAGAAACATGAGATTGAACAGAAAAGATAACATACAGACTCATTAGAATTTATAATTGGTGAAGAGAATGAGATGTGATTATGATATATATATATATATATATATATATAAAGAGTTAAATGGAGATATCTTTTGCTCAATTCTAATTTCTACTCATAAATGACTCATTAATGATTCATTCAAATTTCTACTCATTAATGATTCATTAATGACTTATTCTAATTTTTACTCATTAATGACTCAAATACAATATAATAGAGCTTATTTTTTGCTTAATCCGCAATAACGAGAAATAGTGACTCGTGACCAATCACATTCCCAGTTTCTTAGTTTAAATAAAGCAATCCATTACTGATCACAACCTTCAAAACAAATCAAACAGAAAAATTACTTATTCCCTAAGCACTGTATGAGAATGATAATTATGAAATTTCTAGTAGTAATTACACTAGTGGTGGTGTCTAATACTCCAATGTCGATAAAAGCAGAAAATGACCTGATGATAAAGGAATGCCACAATGCAAGAGTCCCAACCATATGCATGCAATGCCTCGAATTTGACTCATCCTCCATCCATGCCGACCCTGTTGGGCTCACCGCCATCGTCATTAACTGCCTCGACTCTCACCTCCATATCCTCACCAAGCAAGTCTATTCACTTTATTTTACTATATATCACCATAATCTTTTACTTCTTCTTTCTTTCCCTTAATTTATTGTGTGTGTTGTGTGGATTAAAAATATTTAATTTAACTTTAGGGGATTCGAACCAACAAAATGAGTGATATAAATATTGGATCATAAACCAACATACCGATAATCTTATTTTTGTTTGACAATCAGTTGCCAAGTATATATCATATTTTTGACCAAAAAAATAAGGGTTTGGGCTGCTTCTTTTAAGGCCCAACTCTAATACACATCTTGTTTCTTTTATTAATTAAATAAAATTGACCAATCATACAAAAATATTTTTATTAATGGCATGACAGTAATTTAACAATCTCAATTAAAAAACACAAAAATCTGAGAAAAATAAATGTTAGGCTGCTCTTAATTTTAGGCCCAATTCGGATTCATATTTTATTTTTTATTAATTAAATAAATCTAACCAATCAGAACAAAAAATATTTTCATTAATGGCATAAAAGTAATTTTAACAATCTCACCAAAACGACACTAAAATCTGTGCATTAAACCACATCACAATTCACTTCGCATTTACTATAATAGATTGCTAATTTACTGCAATTAAGTGATAATATAATTTTTAGTGGGTGGTTGCGTGATCTCATCTCGCCTGCTGCTTTTCTTTGATTTCTTGCCATTTTCTTCCTTGCAATTGCAATGCTGAGGCAGATTTGTTGGCAAAAGGAGCACTTTTGGCTCTCCAAACTTATAAGAAAAAAAACAAAGGGAATTAACGCATTAACAAGATGAGTAATAATTAGTTATTGGTGTGTAGCTGTAAATATGTTTTTGTTATTAAAAAAAGTAAGAGTATGAAGCTTGTGGAATTTTAATTAGAAATTAATGTAGAAGCATGAGATTAAACAGAAAAAATGACATACCAACTCATTAGAATTTATAATTGGTGGAGGGAATCCGATGTGATTGTATATATATATTATATATAAAGAGCTAAATGGAGATATCTCTTGCTCAATCCTAATTTCTACTCATTAATGACTCATTAATTACTCATTCTAATTTCTACTCATTAATGACTCATTCTAATTTCTACTCATTAATGACTCATTACTTATTCTAAATTTTACTCATTAATAACTCATTAATGACTTATTAATGATTCATTAATGACTTATTCTAATTCTACTCATTAATAACCAATCACATTCCCAGATTCTTAAGTTAAATAAAGCAATCCATTACTGATCACAACCTTCAAAACAAATCAATCAGAAAAATTACTTACTCCCTAAGCACTGCATGAGAATGATGATCATGAAGTTTCTAGTAGTAATTACACTAGTGGTGGTGTCTAATACTCCAATGTCAATAAAAGCGGAAAAGGACCTGATGATAAGGGAATGCCACAATGCAAGAGTCCCGACCATATGCATGCAATGCCTCGAATCTGACTCATCCTCCATCCATGCCGACCCTGTTGGCCTCGCCGCCATCATCATTAACTGCCTCGACTCTCACCTCCATATCCTCACCAAGCAAGTCCCTTCACTTTATTTTATTATATACCACCATGATCTTTTATTTTTTTTTTCCTAAATTTATTTTGTTGTGTGGGTGCAGCAACATTACGACACTATTGTCAAAGATAGAAAAGGGACATGATGCAATCAAGACAGCTCTGGAGGGTTGCAAAAAGGACTTGTCGGAGGCTATTACAAAAGCACTGCCCGATGCCAAAAACAGTCTGAAAACCGGTGACTACGACAAAGCCGGCAAATCGGTAAAGCTTGCGCTTGGCTTTCCTCTGAGCTGTAGCGACAGTCTCCAAACTACCAAGTTTGATTTTCGCTCCTTTTATAACCGTATCAGAATCTATGCCCAACTCTCCAATGCGGCTATGCGAATTATCGATCGTTTCTAATAATTCATAAATATCACATGTTCTTAATTCTCTATATATATAACTCAAAAAGAGAACTTAAATCCATTGTCGATGGACGCTCTATGCTTACCGCAATTTAAATAAAAAATTATTCTTCTTTTTATTTTATTTTTATTGTTTCTGGCTTATTCATGATAGACTCCTCATTCTACTACTAATCACGGTGTCAAATGGGCGGGCTGTCCATTGGTGATCCATGTACAAATTATAATGGGCCGGTTATGGACACATCTAAATACTAGTGGGTCTAAATGGTATTGGTCAAGTTTTGTCCAGAAAATAAATGGGTCAAACCATAGGATTTTTGGTCAGCCCAATAGTCTAAAAATTCTAGGTCAAATCAAATTGAGATTTTTTTTTCTTCTCTCAATCTCTCGACGTCTCTGACATTCATCTCTCACTGCATTCCGGCAAGCTACTTCTCTCTCCGGCAAGACTCCGACGATCGGATTCTCTATCCCCGGCGAGTCATTCTGGCGGCTTATCACACAAGCGAGCTTCTCCACTCTCTTTTCTTCAAATTTCTTTTAGTTCTTAGCTTTTACAGACATAGATTGAAGTTGAATTTCAAATTTTTGTGGATTTTAGTCTTCTAGGTTTACTTGTTTATGCATCAATTCAAAGTTCTAAGTTTAAGTTACTTGATTACTTGTCGGCTTTTTGTTATACAGAACAAAAATTCTGGGTTTACCTTTGATTAAAAAAAATGTCGATTTTTGGTATTTCAGGTCGGTGAAATCATCTGCAGGTTCGAAAAGAAGGGTTTCACTTTGAAAGGTAGATGCATAATCATCGTAACTCAGTGTAGCTGATGTAACTTTCTCTAGATCTTTTTCTATTAATGTCTATCTTTTTTCTATTAATGTCTATCTTTTCCGAACAACATAGAAGCTATTAATGTCTCTATCTCCCTTCTATCTTTTTATGACAATGTTTTAGTTGAACTTGTATTTTGTAAGCTGAATCTCTTTTTTTTTGCTGCAATTACGTGAAACTCATGTTTTGAATCTCTTCTTTTTGCTACAATTAAGTAATTTTGAAAATGGTCTTATTTAGACTTATGGACAGTCCAATTGGTCATGGTTTACAATAGAGTTGGTCTTATTTGGAAATGATTCTATTTGGGTGTGGACCATTAATGTCCAGAAAATAAAAATGTTCATTTGGACAAGCCCATTTGGACATAGACAGCCCAATTGACACTGCTAACTACTAAGCATATCTCTAGTAAACGTGAGCTGCTATATGTGACATGAATCATATGATGATATGATATCGTTTTCTTCTCCGGAAACAATCCAAAAGTTGGGCCCTATTAAATGGGCCATCATGTATAAGTCACTAGCCCAACAATATTGCCAGATGGCGGGATTATGAACTTTAACATTTAAAAAAAAAAAAAAATAATAATAATAAATGCCCTAATTCCGTAATAAATTAATCATACATCATTTGCAATGGAAGATGATTTCATATCAAGGTCTTACGCTTCACTCGCTAATCGCCATTATTATTCATCCTTCCGCTCTGGATCTCTCTCTCTCTCCCTCTCCCTCTCTTTACAAAAAATTTCGATTTGCTGATTTGATTTGATCAAATTCAAATCTACGGATTGATTCGGGATCGTCGCCGGGAGGGGAGTATGGCATCGTCGGCGATGGCTTCAGGAAAGGTAGAGAAGGGGCACCAGCTCTACAGGGACGGCAAGTACAAGGAGGCGCTTCTCTTCTACACGGAGGCTCTCACCGCTGCTAAGGCGAAGCCGCAGAAGATCGCTCTTCATAGCAACCGCGCCGCTTGTTATCTGAAATTGCACGATTTCAAAAAGGTTTTCTTTTCTTTAATCTCCCTTTTTTGTCTATATGTTTACATTTGAATTGAAACTCGAAAGCAGATGAGATGGTCAGGTGAATCAATCAAAAGAGAATCCCAATTTTGGTACACAGACTCTGTAGACATTTGGTTTCATCAGATCAGATTGAGTAGTTTAATATCAAGAGCAAAGGCTATATAGGCTTGTTTACTTACTCGTATGAATCATGTATGTCACATGGAATGGAGAATTATCTCTATATATATATAAATGGCAGTCATGAATGATAGATGGAAATGCATCATTGAGTGAGTGGTGAAGAGTGTTGATAATTCAGGCAGCAGAAGAATGCACGTGGGTGCTCGAGCTTGATCAGAAACACAGCGGAGCATTGATGCTGAGGGCGCAGACATTAGTCACCCTTAAAGACTATCATTCTGCTCTTTTTGATGTCAGCAGACTCTTGGAGTTGAATCCTGATTCCGAGGTTTATCACAACCTCGACGCTCGCTTGAGGACCCAGTTGGTATACTTCCCTCTCTCTCTCTCTCTCTCTCTCTCTCTCTTTCTTCTCTTGCTTTCCTTTATATAGCAAGTATCTCTGTCCTGTCTCTAGGTGTTAAAGAATTGTGTCTTGTTTTCTTTCTTTGGTCAAGGAAAGTCCCTTGCTCCAATTCCTGAATCCGAAGCAGAATTGGAAGAAGAAGAAGAAGAAGAAGAAGACGAAGAAGAAGAAGAGGCAAGTAGAAGAGATAATAGGTTTGAGTCAGTAGTTGCAATCAGAAGAGATGTAGAAGCCGCAGGAGAAGATCATGCAACAAACAAGGGGGAAGTTGCTGCACCTAAAACACCAGAGGTTAGAGAAGAGAAAAGCAAGGTGGAAGAACAAGGGCCATTGTCCGATGGATGGCAAGCCATCCCTAAGCCCAAGGGTCATTCAACGCTCGATTACGCCCGTTGGGATACAGTTGAAGACGATTCCAGCGAAGATGATGGCGATGAAGACAGCGACGACAGTGATGAGTCTCCTCAGCCTCAGTACAGGTTCCGAGTCAGAACGGTCGGGGTGCGTCCTGTGAAGTGAAAAAGGTGTAGAATAAGAACATGGATGGTTTCTTTCATCATCCTGCTTGATATTGTTGTTGCACACAAGAGATGTGAAAAAAGGAGAGAATAGACTAGTAGTCTATAGTCGTCGCCTGTTGTGTAAATTAATGGCCTCAAGCTTTGAGTCTATTATATACAGAGAGGAGGACCATTGTCAAATTCAAATGGTGCCTTCTTCTCCTTGTCGATGCAATTCAATATATATATACACACCCACAATTGGTGTTTTGTTGTTACGGTGATGATATTCGAATCTGAACAGAGATGGAATTAGAACTTTTATTCATGACATCAAAGAAGGAAGACGAACGCATAATGATAGACATATATATGTAGTATAGCTTCTTTGTCTTTAAAGTTTTTTTTGTTTGGGGAAGAGAAGAAGAAGAAGAAGAACATCACTCCAAAATAATCGGATTTGGTGTCCGCACGCATAAACAGACCTGAGACTGAAATTGAAAGAGAGATTGATTGATTTTTGTGTAGAAGAAAGGCTGCAACAATGGCGGCATCGAAGCCGTCCCCAACCGATTCCTGGGATTCTACTCTGCCTGGTCCTCCCAGCCGCAACAACTTTGGATCCGCCGATCTCAGTCCCTCCGGTCTCTTCGCCTTCGCCTCTGGCTCCTCCGTCTCAGTCGTCGACTCTCGCTCTCTCCAGCTCGTCTCCACTATCCCTCTCCCTCCTCCTCCCGGCGCCCTCTCCCCCTTCGTCACTTCCGTCCGCTGGATCCCTCTCCCTCTCCCCCGCGATCTTCTCTCCTCCGAGCCCTCCGCCTCTCACCTCCTCCTCGCCGTTGCCGACCGCCACGGCCGCGTCGCCCTCGTTGACTTCCATCTTCGCTCCGTCGTCGTCTGGCTCAACCCCTCCTCCGATCCCAAGCTTGGCATCCAGGACCTTTGCTGGGTTCAGGCCCGCCACGACTCCCACGTCCTCGCCTCCCTTTCGGGGTCTTCCTTTCTCTCTCTCTACACCACCACCTCCTCCGACGGAGTTTTCTGGAAGTACGATGCCGGCACGGAGATCCTCTCCTGCCTCCGCCGCGATCCCTATGATTCCCGCCATTTCTGCGTCCTTGGCCTCAAGGGCTTCCTCTTGTCGATCAGGGTACTCGGAGACACCGAGAATGACGTCGTGATTCAGGAGATGCAGATCAAGACGGATTTCAGTGAGCTGCTCAGGCTGGAAAGAGAGGCGGCCACTAACGGCAATTCCTCTTCTTCTTCGCCTGCTTCGGCGGCATTCCCCTTGTACTTTGCCAGGTTTGCCTTCTCGCCACACTGGAAGAATATACTGTTTGTGACTTTCCCCAGGGAGCTGTTGGTGTTTGATCTGCAATATGAGACGGCTCTCTCGACCACCCCATTACCTCGTGGATGCGCCAAGTTCATGGATGTCCTGCCGGATCCTAACAAGGAGTTGCTTTACTGTGCTCATGTCGATGGCAGGCTCAGCATTTGGCGTCGCAAAGAGTATGATTTCGCTGTCCTTGTCCCTTAGCCATTGCTGGATCCGGTCACTTCCATTCATGGTTTTGCTATTCCTTGAATCAGATTGAGTTTACTTTTCCTTGTTCTACCAAAAAATGGTTGCCCTTCACATGTTACAAGTATCATTTTGTACAGTCTCTTTGCGCAATATTGATTTTAGGCAAGGCTTTGTTCTTTTGTTTTTATAAAATATCGTGCTCTCTTCTCTAAAGGATATCACTGGGAAAAGATGGGAAATCGGATTAGCTTGCTTTAGTTGTACTTTATTTTTTGAATATTTAAGGTATGAGATTTCTGGCTAATGGTGCGTATTAATAGACTTGAGTTCTCTGCTTCGATTAGTTTCTAACTACAGTAGTGTTAATCTTCTTTAAACGTGAGAATGTTTAGGAGAACTTATTGAAATAGGAAGTTTCCTAAGTTATATTAGCTCATGTTTGATCTTCCATTCTAGTCTTTGAGATCACAGCAGTCATCAATTCATCATAGGCTTGGTAACGGATATTAAATCTAAAGTTCTTTCTGGAGCCCAGATCATGTTCTGCATCTCTGGGAAACGAACAAGTCCGTATCCATCTGGTCATTTTTGAACTGTTCTAGTGCTTAGCTTCGTATAGTATAGTGTCTGAGATTCATGGGTTCAAAAGCATCTTATGAATTATGACTTTGTATCTTGTTATGTTGATTAAACTTGGATAATCATCTAAACTACTGCTGGTTATATGTCATTGCAGAGGAGAACAGGTGCATGTCATGTGCACCGTGGAAGAGCTTATGCCATCTATTGGAATGTCCATCCCTTCTCCATCAGCTATGGCTGTTCTCCTCAGTCAATCGGACTCCACCATGCAAACCATTTCAAAACTTCACTCAGATGGAATTTCCTCTGTGGATTTTGATAGTCCATTTGACTTTTACGACCAAAACCTTCTTGTTTCTAAGTCAACTTTTATTTCCCTATCTGATGACGGTAAAATATGGAAGTGGGTCTTGAGTGCTGAAGAAGTTGAAGATGCCCTGAAAAATGCGTCAGACTTGGACATAAGTACAGAAGGCACTAAAGCATCTCCTCCTGGAGCAATCCACAAAAAAGATTCTTTAGATCTGGAGGATGGACTAGTTGTTGCACCTACAAATCAAATCATAAGTCACACATCAAGTTCATCACTGGGAAATTCAGACCTATCATTTAAGGTTGGTGGCTGCCGGCTGGAAGGTTTTGGGTTAACTAGTTCCTTAATCACTTAATGAATGTTCCTCCAGAGGATAGGAGTTTGATGTTAGCAGGTTCCTCATCTTTACGGTTGTGTTTTTCACCATACGTGTTTAGTGGCCTTTACTTGTTTAATCGCTCAATGCAGATCAGCCTGGCTGGGCAGCTTCAGCTTCTTTCTTCCACAGTCTCTACACTTGCCGTACCATCTCCATCTCTTACGGCAACCCTAGCGAGTTAGTTTTATTTTCCCTTGTATGCATAGTACTAAAAGTTTTCCTAGGAGTACTAAATTGATTGATTTGCGGGTTGATTTCAAACGTAGGAGGGGGTAACATTCCTGCGGCAGCTGTTCCTTTGGTTGCTTTGGGAACTCAGAACGGAACAATCGATGTTGTTGATGTATCGACAAATGCTGTTGCTGCAAGCACTTCGGTTCATGGTGGTGTAGTTAGGGGACTTCGGTGGCTTGGAAATTCAAGATTAGTTTCATTTTCTTACAGTCAGGTGGGCAAATTAATTTAAAAATGGAACATGTAATGTGTCATTACTTTCCTAGTGATTCCAATTTGGGATTTGTTTCTTCCAGGATTAAGAAGAGTGTTGGGTTTAGTTTTATTTTCAATAGCATATTGATAAATTAGTAGAGTTGAGAATTTGACATCCAACATCATGCATCGGTTTGTGGTTTCAGGTGAATGACAAAAGCAGAGGCTACATAAATAAGCTTGTTGTTACATGCCTTAGGAGTGGATTAAATAAACCATTTCGGGATTTACAAAAGCCAGAGCGTACTCCCATAAGAGCTCTTAGAACTTCTTCTTCCGGAAGGTTGGATTTTAATGTAATTCGTTTAGCTTCAGTAATTAATGCCTATTGACAACATAATGAATGACTTTGTACACTTCAAGCTATCAGCTTGTCATTGATAGTTTAAGCTTAGAAGCAGTGTCTCATTTAGGTATTTGAAAATCTGTTCCATTATGAGATGACAAATGTTAGATGTAGATTATAGATGATACTGATTTAGATACCTCCTCCGATGCTGAGAAAATCTTTTTTTTTTCTGTCCTGTTGCAGGTATCTTTTAATTCTGTTCCGTGATGCTCCTGTAGAAGTTTGGGCAATGACCAAGCATCCAGTAATGGTGAGTGAGCGCAAACCCCAAAGTATCTATGCTTTTGCTATGTGACTTAGTACCACGGAGTAGATGACAACAACATTTTCTTTCTCATATCATATGTTTATAAGCTTAGAAGTTGCATTATTACATTCTGTACCTGTTCATCCATATGTTTTTTTTCTTCTTCAGATGTCCCATCCTCATTTCATAATTTCTCATCCCTATGAATTTTTTCTTCGTATGTCTGTTTACTTTCAGCTAATATTCCCTTGACCAGGTTACGCTTTTTGCATGTGATACATGAGTAAGGATGGATAATTTGGCACGACATACTTGACTGGCTCATGTTGGTTCTTGAAAATCATAATGCCTAATGGGGTTGATTTTCTTGAAAGTATAAAGCCTGTACCTTTTGAAAATTGAGTCATTTAAAGCAGCATACTCTCTGTGGCCTCTTTTCTTGCCTCTCCCCTTTTCCAAGTGCTAGAAAGTCTTTATAGCCATGTCAATGTCAATTCTTGCAAGAAGAATGTAATGATGGTGTAGAGAATGGGTCCGAACAAGAACTATAACTGATCTTAATATAGCTATAATCTTTGAGGCTTGTTTACAAATACGCCATGTCTAACTTTTGGAGTGTTTATTATCTTTTCGAGGTTATGTAAATTCTAATCGGCCATTTTATTTTTGTTTTTCCTTGTATTGTGTAGCTTAGATCATTAGCTCTTCCTTTTACGGTAGTAGAATGGACGCTTCCAGCAGTTCCACGCCCAGGTCAAGGCGGTCCGCCCAAACAATTTCTCTCATCATCCGAAGGAGGTACTGCTTCAGCAACGGCGTCAGCAGACTCTAGTGAGATGTTTATGACAATAAAACTGTCCTACCCTGAATATAAACCAGTCTTTGATCCATCTTTTCCTAAGGGTTGCTAATTGACATATCCGCAGAGGCAGTGGGGTCGGATGGGTCAAATGAAGAAACTGTAGAGAGTTTTGCATTTGCACTAGTAAATGGTGCCCTTGGAGTATTTGAAGTCCAAGGACGTAGGATTCGAGATTTCAGGTAAAATAGATGGTTCCATTAGTTAATTGTTGTTCAGATTTTCTTCTTTTCGTTGCAATTCCTTACAGTTGCGTTTAAAGTCCTTGTCACAATGCAGATCATATTTTAGGGCTGCTGAATATTTTTCCGTTTCTGAGAAGAAAAAGTGTAGTAGTGATTGCGCATTATTGCTTACCCGCTGTAGAGTCTTTTTCTCCTTATTTCCTTCTTGTTCTAGGATTTGTTTCTAATGCTATCTGTCATTTATTTCTTTCTAGAAAAATTGTGAGATAATAATTGAAACTTCGTTGTCCAATTTCAGAAAAGTGCAGACAATTCACTGCTTGATGGTTTCTTTCAGCTGGTTTCACATAAATTAGCAATCACATTCTGAACCTTGATTGTTGTGTAATCTTCTTCCTATATTTACTGACATATAGATGATCCGCCTCTATTTCTAGACCAAAATGGCCATCTACTTCATTTGTTCCATCAGATGGATTGGTTACAGCCATGGCATATCGCTTGCCTCACGTGGTTCGTTTCTTTTCAATTTTCAGTTCTCTCTTTTATTTTCCCATGGGAGATCATATCTTGCTCTCTTCTTCCAGGTCATGGGAGATAGATCAGGAAACATAAGATGGTGGGATGTAACAACTGGACAGTCATCTGCATTCAATAGCCACAGAGATGGAATACGTAGAATCAAATTCTCACCTGTTGTTGCTGGAGATCGCAGCCGAGGGCGTGTAGCTGTGCTATTTAATGACAATACATTTTCTGTTTTTGATCTTGTGAGTCTTAAGAGCATTCACAATTTCCTATAAGTTGTGCACATGTCTTGTGTTTTCAAAGGTGGTATACTAATACTCTGCAATGTGAAAAGAAAACAAGGACAATACTAGTGTTATTGACACTTGATTTTTGACATTTATCTCTGTCAACCTAAATCAATTGTTTGTGACAGTTGCTACTGAAACTTGCTGTGCAGGATTCACCCGATCCGGTCGCCCAGTCGCTTCTGCAGCCGCAGATTCCTGGCACCCTTGTACTGGAACTTGATTGGTTGCCTTTGAGAACTGATAAAAATGATCCACTTGTTCTATGCATTGCTGGAGCTGACAGCACCTTTCGGCTCGTTGAGGTTATTGTGTATGTGTACACCAAACTTATATTCGTATTCAGAGTCTCATCAATGCCTTCAGATTGTGATTAGTTCCTTATCAGCATGTTGATCTTAGTCACATAAAGTTTTAGGTCATTATCTGTTGTTTCTCCCATAGAATTAAAACTGTATACAATGGGCATATCTAGGTTTTTCTATTTTGCTCACCAGTTGGCTGTGCACCCTAAACCCTTGTAGAAAGGTCCGTAAACCCTGGCACATGGCCATGTAGGTGGGATGGTGTACAGGGATTGACAACTAGGCAACCCTTGTCCCCAGGTTAGCTAGGCATGTCTAGGTTAGGCATAAGATAATATTTTGTTTCGGATCTGCCATTACTATTGATCCAAATTTAAATTGGCTACAATCACTTAATTACTTCTGCTATCTTATGTTTCCAACTTTTTTCTTCTGGTCTTTGCAGAAATGAAAAGAAGGTTGGCTTTGTGCCCCAGTCTAAATCTGTAAAGGAGAGATTCCGTCCTATGCCTATGTACTCCCCTATCCTACTTCCTGTACCACATGCGCTGGTAATTTTCTTTACTTAGGAATACTTCTTGATTCTGGAGAGTACTTATTGATTCTGAAGTCTTTGCGGTACTTAATCGTGGTTTACTACTGAAATCATGTAATACAGAAGATACCTATAACCTGTTCCCAAGGCAGATTCTAGGAATTGAGATTCCAATTTATATTATGGTTACTCTTGACAATGTCTCTGATTATTATACATGCAGGCACTGCGGATGATTTTACAGTTGGGAGTGAAACCATCTTGGTTTAATACTTGTAGCACCACTTTGGAGAAAAGGCCTCATTTGATCCGTGGAATGGCTTCATCCTCTAAGGATCTTCGGAGCTACATGATTCACTTACCACCTTTAGGAGACCCTGTAGTGCCAGAGATGCTGCTGAAGATACTAGAGCCATATCGGAAAGAAGGTTGTTTTCATTTGTTTAGTATAGTATCCCATACATTTCTCTTTCAAGGTATCTGTTTAAGTATTCTAGTTTTTTTCATCCTAGGTTGCTTGCTTGATGATGAAAGAGCAAAACTGTATGCTGATGTGGTCAAGAAAGGTTGTGCTGCAAGATTTGCTTTTGCGGCTGCAGTTTTTGGTGAAACCTCAGAAGCTATTTTCTGGTTGCAACTGCCTCAAGCCATTCGCCATCTGACGAACAAGCTGATGAAAAGGTCTTCGCAGAAAACCCCTTCCCCTGCTTTGGCCTCAGGTACCGATGAAGCATCTATGCCGAGTAAAATATCATCTAGTGGTTTATCAGCATCTGAAGCCAAGAAGATAGACTCTATGGTGAGTATCACAATAAGGTTCCTTTTCTATCAAAAGATCATGCATTCTAGCCATTCCCTTCTACCAGATACTTAGCTGAGAATTTTTAATTTTGGAAATGGAGTTACTTTGCTTAGATCATTATATTTTCATTTGCATAGTGTTTGTTGGTGTGCTTATATTACACATTGTCATGAACAGTGTGATGGTTCACTTAGATTAATGGCTTTTGAGCGAGAAGAATTATGGACACGTGCCAATGAACGTCTTCCTTGGCATGAAAAATTGGAGGGGGAAGATTGCATTCAGAAACAAGTACATGAGTTAGTTTTCACCTTTAGCTCGTCTTCATTGTTTTATCTTTTCATTTTATTTCCTGAATTTCTGGAACAGAAACTTATAGAAACAAAGTTTATAGATTTTAGATTTAGAATCTGAGTTTCCACGCTTAGTTCTTGCGGTGACAAGTGAATTTACTTAGTAACCTTTATGATCAGGCTAATATCAGTTGGGAATTTGGAAGCTGCTGTTAGTTTGCTGCTTTCTTCTGCTCCAGATTCTCCATACTTCTATCCAAATGCTCTCCGAGCTGTTGCACTCTCTTCAGCTGTGTCCAAATCTCTTCTCGACCTTGCACTAAAGGTATAGGTCTTACCATATTTGATAGTCTTTTGTGTCCTTTTAACATAAAAACAAAAAATAACCATTCATCACTTTTGTTGCGCACATACTTAGGTTGTTGCAGCCAACATGGTAAGGACGGACAGTTCGCTCTCTGGTACTCATCTTCTATGCGCGGTTGGGAGACACCAAGAAGCTTGTTCACAAGTTAGCTTCCTTGTTTCCTTTGTAATACTGAATATTGTATATTTTTCTGAACTATACTTCCACTAGGAATATCCTCTTATTAAGTATCAGGGAACGTTTGTAGCTTTGATTTAATAATGGGCAACGTTTTAGACACTAAATGTTTTAGACGTTTTGTTTATGCAGCTGCAAGATTCTGGACGATGGACTGATGCTGCTACCTTGGCTGCCACACATTTAGAAGGATCGGATTATGCTAGGTCTTTTCTTTGACCATTTCACCCTCGAATCTGATTTTTGTTTCCTAGAACTGGTTAGTAATTGTTGTGATCTCGTGCCCTTGGTTTAACTGCTATTTCTCTCTCTCTCTCTCTCTACTCAGGGTATTGCAGAGGTGGGCTGATCATGTTCTCCACGCGGAGCACAATGTCTGGAGGTACTGTATCATACTCGACTTCAATACTGTTTAAATTACATCGAAACAGTGACATAGTTTCCGGTAAGAAATCGCATTATGAGAAAAGAAATTACGTCATATGTCGATGCAGGGCACTTATTTTATATGTGGCTGCTGGTTCCCTGCAAGAGGCGCTTGCAGCTCTCAGAGAGGTGCAGCATCCCGACACAGTAGCCATGTTTGTGCTCGCCTGTAAGGAGATTCATTCGGAAATCGTAAATGAGATATCAAGCCAAGACCATGAAGAGTCTGAATTTGCTTCTGGTGAAGGCACCGATCTGCCTGGCCTAGAACCAGGGAAGGAAGAAGTAGCAGCGGTTGGCGAATACTTTCAACAGTACCAGAGAAAGTTGGTGCATTTGTGCATGGACTCACACCCCTACACCGACTGATGAGGAACTAGAAAGAGGGAACTCTCACGCACACATAAAAATCATCTTTGAAGAACAATCACAAACAAGTTTTGGGGTATCCAGAGAAAGATTACTACGTTTGTGTTTGTTGTTGTACACTGAACCCTTGTTCATAGCTGTTTTGTGTAAACTTGATCTAAGACCAGATAAATTGCCCCCCTGGTTGTTTGGGCGTTACTTCATTCTGTTCCTCATGGCCATGCATTACACATTACAATACTATCGTCATTCATGCAGAGCCGATACAACCAACTCAATTTGAAGAAATATTATACAGCTTGTTTTTGGCTGTCTTCAATGAAAGAATCTTCTCCGGCATCGAGCTGATCCAAGTTCTTCGTACTCAGCCTTAGTGACACACATGGACTCAAAATCTGGGCTCGAGGCCAAAAGCGAACCCCCTCTCCAAACACCTAGGATGGGGCTGCAAGCAAATACAAAAAGAATTAGGAAAACAAAAAAAAAAAAGAGTTACTTAACCAGTAGGAAAGGATTGAGTTTGTATACTCCTCCTGAGTTGTAATCTTCAAATCAAAGTGGTCAGGGACAAGTGGACGAAGCTCTCCATGGCTGCAATATCTCAGACATCAATCAACTTGTCTAGTAACAAATACCATCAATGATGACATGGGATGGTATAAAAACTTTTTAAAAAAAAAGACTTACAGCCTCTCCTTGAGTTGCGGAAATAATGTGCTTCCACCAGTTAAGATGATGCTGCCACAAAGCATCGAACATTAGACAAACACAGCTCATCCAAATGAAAGGAAAAAAAAAAAAAACGTAAGCGATGGGAGCCACCTTTGGTACAAAACTGGTTGCAAGTAAGAATGGCATGAGCTTACAGCTCGGACAATGCACTCTGCAAGTCCCGCCTGATTCATCCCTGTCCAAAAGTCAAGTTAAATGATTAGCATCATCTTTCCTTTCATCTTCTTCTTGTTGATACGAGATACAAACCTAGATCCGCGGGCTGGAATAACGTCTCAGGTACAAGAAAACGCTCATTTGTCAAGTCAATCTCCTGCAGAAGAAGCATACATAGATTTGAAGGGGAATAAAAAAAAAAAGATCTCTTCTACCCACTAACAAACATAGAAGAGAAATCGTAGGTACGTTTTTGTTGAAGTCAGGCTTTTTCTGATGCTCTTCATCAGAGTGATGAGGAGGTGGTTGCTTGACGTAACCTTTGGTATGAGTGACGCCATCAGGAAGAACATAGGTAGACTTGATGGGGTTTCCATGTCGGCGGTCCCTGGCAAGTCGGAGATCACGGTGGAGGTCAAGAGAGACGAAGCAGAGCTTCTCTTTAGCATCATCCATCAAGAAAGTCTGATCCATGACATTTACGGATCGATAAGAGACCAGTTCCTTGAGGTAATTAGTCAAGGCTTTACCTCCCAAATCGATCCTCCTAATGGCGTAGTTGAGGGTGAAGTTGTGGAGGACAGGGACGGCGTGAGTGAAGGAGAAGCCACAATCGACGACGAGGCTACACTGTGTGCGCGAGAGCATGGAATCCGGCTGGCGGCTAGCTTCGTAGAGATGAACGAGGGACTGAGGGTTTGCCACGTAGAGAGAAGAGAAGCCGAAATCCTCGAAGACGAGCTCGTCGGTGGCGCGTTGCACGGATGGGATCGAGAGTGGTGGCTCCGTGAGGAGGAGCGAGGAGGAGGTTGGGGTGATGCGGAGGAGAGAGGTGAAGAGGTGTGACCAGATGTCGCGCTGTAGCTCAGGGTTTATCAGGTAGCCGCGGTCGATTGGGCGGCGGACGGCGGCGGAGGTGAGGTCGATGTCGTTGTCGAGGTCGGAGAGAGGGAGAGGAAAGATGAACTTTTTGGAGGAGAGAGGTCTCAAGAGGCAGTTTGGGATCACCGTGACGGGATCACGCTCGCCGCCTTGTCCGGCTTTGATTAGACCACCGCCGTTGTCTAGCACCACGATGTTGTTCGACATTTCACCACCACCACGACGGCGACGGCGACGTCGACGTCAACGACGAGAGAGACTTGCTTTGTTTCGCGACTTACTTACTGGTTGGTTTTTTACTTAGAAAATCGAAATGAGAAACCTTTTTATTCTTAGGAGATTTCAAACCAAAACTGAAGTAGTCTGAGAAATATTTAGTCTTTGCGTTTCGAAAAGTTTTCTTCTTCCAAACTGTATTCATTCATTTGACATTACCAAAGCTAGCTTTCGATTCCTCCCAACGTCTATAATTAAAGAAGAAGATACAAAAAAGAGCACAAAATGACATTTTCTTGCTTTCACCTATCCCTTCTCTCGTCGTCTCTCTCTCTTCTCCTCCCTTTATCACTCCAATGATCGTCTCTATCTCTCATCTCTTGCCGGCGTCTTCCTCTTCTTCTCTCTTCATCTTCCCTACTCTCTCTTTCGTTTCTCTCTCTCTGTTTCTTCTCCCTACTCACACCATCATCATACCTCCTGTCCCTCTCCCTGTCCCTGTCCCTGTCCCTGCTCTCTCTGTGCTGTCTTCTACCATCATCTCTGTCTTGTCTTTTCCCTTCACCATACCCATGAGGGCTTCTCCTGCGAACCTTCTCCTTGTCATGACTATGCTCTCTCTTCTCCCTCTTCGCTTCAGCTATGTCCCCCTCAAACACCATATCGTAGCCTTCTCCTCCCCCGTGCTGTCTGTTCTGATCTTTCACAATGAACTTTGAAGCTTGATTACCACCCACACACTCATTGGCAACATGATCCATCGACCCACATTTGAAACATCCGTTCCCTGTCATAACACCATTTTACCCATTAGTTTAGTTATTACATCAACAGCACCTCCATGTAATTGCATCGCAAGAAAAATTTTGACATCTGCTTGGTCTATGGGATCAATACATACAAATAAGGAGGATTTACCTTTACCCTTTTGTGAGTCTTTTTGCCGAAACTGTGACCACAGTTTGGATACACTCTGACTGAAATCCACATGTATTCTTCTATCATCAATCAGAGCATTGTCCATCTGTAAAACAACAGGTTCGTTAAGGACCTCAAAATGATTCATTCCACATCGTCTCTATGCCTATACTCTTTTACACTTGTTAGCCACTTGACCATTTACCTTAAAATACGCTTGTTCGCATGACTCCTTGTTCTCAAACTCTATATACCAAGGACAAAACTCTCAATAAAAACACAAATTTATACAGGAAAAAAAAAAAAATTTCCCAACTGTAACCATATAGCTACTCACCTATAAAAGCGTAGCACAAACTATCACCTGTCTTGAAATCCCGGATTACATCAGCCCTGCAATAATTAGAGATGAAAAATAAATACATAATGCAATACAGTTGAGTATTCCAAAACGAATAAAAGAATCAAGGACATATCACTCACGATATCACGGTTCCAAAGCGTGAAAATATGGTATGCAGATCCTCATCCTGCAGGAGACGAGAGAAAAAAAAAAAAGAACAAATTGTGAGAAAATACAACAGAAGCCTTTGCTTTTAACTCTAAATAACCAATCACCTACCTCAGTCACAGGATTTAGTTTGCAGACAAACAGCACATTATCTGGAGGCTTTACCTCGGCCTCTGGGATATCTCCTATCTGCAACAGCAATACAAGCTCAGGTAACGTCAATAGAGCTAAAAAACAAGTGAGTCCAGGACACTTACACTCTCAAGCACAACAGCACTAGAATGGGCAGCTTTTTCGCGGATAACCTCCTCCAGTTCCTGAGCACCAAGTTCTTCATCCATTGGAACCCAATCATCTTCAAGTCGCACGTCATCTTTGACCTCTTCCTTCGGTTTTCCTTCAGGGGAAGCATCCAGTATCATCTCAGCCAGTTGTGGGGGATCATCAAAAGGATCTTCAAGGATGTAAGTGTGCTTGATTCTAATGTTCTTATATGGTCTGTTCTTCGAATCAACATAAGCTTCATTTATCCTAGTCAAAGTGTCAAACCCCTCTGCAATCTCCCCGAACACCTGAAAAAATGTCATGTTGTAAGTAACCGGGTATATGCAAAAGAAAGCGTAGGCGGATTAGGAATAACTTGGTGCTTACAGTGTGTTTCCCATCAAGATAGTCTAGATCATCACGAAGCGTGAAATAGAACTGAAAAGAAAACAGACAAGTCACATGAGGACATACTAAATACACAAAAATTTTGATCCACAACACACTGATAGTTATACTGACAAGATAATACCGTCAAAAACCTGAAACTTCAAGCAAAATGATTTGGATTACCTGGGAAGCATTGAGATTTTCTCCACCACTGGCCATTGCGACAGTGCCAGTCTTTGAATGTTTTAGATCGAGATGGATCTCATCTCCAAAAAACCGAGCCTGCTCGCCATATAAAAATCTGGAAATTCAACATAACATGCACGCCATGGTTTAGGATAAAGTTGACAAATTTATTGGGAAAATTGACAGTAGAAAACATAAACAAGGAGGTGTCAAAGCAGCACACTAGGAGAGTAACAGATTGAAAAGGTAAAGAATGATCAAAACAACAATCTTACTTGTAGATTGAATCTCCGCCAGCTCCTGTGCCAGTTGGATCACCAGTCTGCGCTGTGAAATCCTTTTGCACAGTGTGGAAGAGGCACCCATTGTAGTACTTGATCCTAACCCAAAAAGAAAAAGTTAAAACAACTTAGAGAAACAGTGAGTACCATCGAAATGTTTTTTTATAGATAGATAGGCAGAAAGTCACTTACTTGCAGAGCTTGAGGAAGTTTTTGCATGTCAAAGGGCATTTATTGGAATGCAAATCAATCACAATGTCCCCAAGGCTCGTCACAATAAGAACTGACATGTTTCAAACCTGAAACCAAAAATTGGAAGTGAGAAGTAAATATTATGCTTTACAGTAACTTATCTCATTCATAAATAAACCCGAGCGTTAGGACAAGGACGCGGATTGCGAGCTGATAAACATGAAGACAACAAACGAGGGAAACAAAAAGAAAAAATGTAAAGACGGGAAAACCAACAAGTAGGAGAAAATCCCCATTTTCTATTAACTCATAAGCACTAACTAAATTACCCTCCCTTAATCCCACACTAATAACAGATCCTTCAAGTTGTTGCTAAAACCAACAAGCAAAAGATAGCAAAAGGTCGAAAATCTATGCCTTTGCGAGATAGATTCTAGTTCTGATCTTGAGCCCTAAAACGAAGAAAGAAGAGAAGAGAGATTATTTACCCCAGACAGAAGAGAGAATGGATGAAACGTCTCCCCTTGGTCTCTGTCAGAATCTTCGACTAGGGATTTGGTCGAGATTGAGATTTTTGAGAATTTGTTTAGGTTTAAGAGAGTTCCTGGAAAAGAAGAGTGGAGAGAGATTTTGAAAAAAGAGGTTTCCTTTTTCCAACGGAGGGTTTTATTGTGTAAATAACAGAAGTTGAGACTTATTAGATAAGAAAAAAATAGTAGAGGGGTTGAAAAAACAAATGAAAGTTGCAAGAGGCTTCGTGATCAATATATATAAATACGTATGCCTCTCTATCTCTCTCTTTTATACCAAGAAGCCGACAAAGACAAATTAAAAGCCAATAAAAAGCCGCCACGTAGTTTTTGGAGACGAAGAAGATCCCGAGGAGGGACCGCGAGAGATCAGCTATGTCCGAAAGCGGCGGGCCTGACTTCAGCCTGTCGGACGAGATTCTGGCGGTGATCCCCACCGACCCTTACGATCAACTCGATCTGGCGAGGAAGATAACTTCCATGGCCATCGCTTCGAGGGTTTCGAACCTCGAGTCCCAAGTCTCCGTCCTCTCACAGAAGCTTGTCGACAAGGATCGGCTTGTCTATGAGCTCGAGGCCAGAGCATCTTCCTTGGAAAGACTCTACAAGGAGGCTGACTCCACATTGAAGAATGTCCTCGATGAAAATGTAAGCTTTTTTATTTTCTGGCTTTTATGGTTGACTGGACTTGACTCGGAGATGGAATTTTTACTCAATTGTTTTTGAAGATGAAACTAACTCAAGAGCGAGATTCACTGGCGATCACTGCCAAGAAACTAGGTCGTGATTTTGCAAAGGTGCTCGCTTTTCTTTCCCATAATTTTTTGTTTGTTTGATTCGGATGTTGATTTCACCCATTCATTTGCTCAAACTCCTCCTCCTCCTGTCTTCTTACTTTGTAGCTGGAAGCATTCAAGAGACAATTGATGCAGTCTTTGAATGATGAGAATCGATCTGTATGTGTATGCTCCTTCACTTCATTTTCTTTTATATTTTTTTAAAAAGCCAAAATCTGAGCTTGTTGACATTCTCTTCTTCTCCTTTTTTCTTACAGCAAACCGACAACACTGATGTCAGACAGGCTCCTCGAGACCAAGGTATTCAATTATCTGTCTCTCTCTCTCTCTCTCTCTGTTCATGAGATGGTTCTTCTTATCTATATTTTTGCTCTGTAAACGTTATAGATGAGAATTCAAATGGCTTTTCCACACACGATTCCAACAACCAAGGTAAATGATTGGATGTTTTACACAGTTACAATTTGAGTGTATTTAACGGCAACAAAAGACACATGGCTGAAACAAAAACAGATCAAAACAAGTGGTTCATGCTTACAAATCATCCATTTATTCTGGTGTTCAACAAACAGGTTTAAAAAGTGAAGAGAGGCAAAGAGTGTCTTTGACACCGCAATTGTCTCCCGGTTATACTCCGAGCGGAACACCAAAGATCCTATCGACTGGTGGGTCACCGAGAAGCTACTCTGCTGCTTCATCTCCGAAGCTATTCTCTGGCGCCGCATCTCCAACATCCTCACATTATGATATACGTCTTTGGTCTTCATCAAGCCAGCAGTCTTCACTACCAAACTCACCTCCTCGCTCACATTCTGCTTCAGGTTTTCCAATATATCATCATGTGATTTGTGGCCTGTATATATATATATATAGATATCTGAAATCCTAAAAATCACCATCTCCTATAAAACAGTAGCTCGCCGTCCGCGGATTGATGGGAAAGAGTTCTTTAGACAAGCCAGGTATGGAAATTCAGAGAGCTAGCAACTAGTCAAACATTGAGAAGGAAGGAATGATAGATAAAGCATTTTCTTTTTATTTTGGAGTATGCAGGAGCCGTTTGTCATACGAACAGTTCAGCGCATTTCTGGCGAACATCAAGGAACTAAACGCTCGGAAGCAGAGCCGGGAGGTAATTATAAAACCCATCCTTTTTTACCTTTTGGTTTTCTCTTGGTTTGGTTTGATGGATCCAAAATGTATAAAAAATCAATCTTGAATGACCAGGAAACATTACGGAAAGCGGAGGAGATATTCGGGGCGGAAAACAATGATCTTTACATATCGTTTAAGGGACTTCTCACAAGCGGGCGTTGAAAGACATATAGGCACCAAACACCTTTTTTTGTAGCTTCTTTGGACCACCAATACATACTACTACTAAACTTTGTTGAGTACATCTGAAAATGAGGGCGAGTTTATAATAAGATTCTCAGACGATTTAACAGAAAAATAAAAGCAGAGAATGTATTTATAATGGATTCATTGTTTGAACAAGAGTGATTTCTTTATGATGCTCATTCAGTTCCTTTGCCTAAGAGTTTATATATATTTTTTTTATTATTATAAAGCAAAAAATCGAATTACACCTCATTACAAGGGCCGAAGCTTTATCGGAACAATAATGTTGACCCATTTATACACACTCGTCTCGTCTCTGTGCACATCTCTCGTCTCGCTCTGTTTCTCTCACTTTCCTTCAAGGCAAATCCGTATCGTCGGTTCAGTTTAAGACGTACGAAGACACCCTTTTGGGTTAACTTATCTCTCTGTCCATTTGAATTTTGTTCATTTTTCCTTTGTTGAAGACATGGGAAAAGCTTCTCGGGATAATTTTTTTGGTAGGATATCTTATGTGTGCAACTACCGGCGACCTTTTTTGCATTGAAGAACCTGTTCAGAATGTCTAAAGCTGATTCGACTGAGTCAGTTAGCTAATCTCTTATCACTGCGCCAAAATTTTTGCATAGGATTGTAGTTGAGTTGGAATCTCAGTTAGCTTGACAACTTAATTCGGTTAGTGTAGTATGGGAGGTGACATGCATCGAGAAAATTGAGTTAGGAGAGCAGGGGATGATCTTGAATTTCAACTCTGGTTTGGTTTGTTCTTAGTTCATTGTCTGTTCCTCGATTAGCAGTGGATAAAATAAAGAGAAATATGGTTCTGAATCTTACCAGTGCACCCTATTGTAGGTTTTGAGTCAAAGTAAGTTATATCTTCCTGCAAAGTATTCAGCTGAGTCAAAGTAAGTTTCATATTGTGTAAAATAGTCACATATTTTTCACACTTGAGCGCCGTTTTTCTTTAATTGTTTAGCTGTGCTCGCTTAGTAATTCACACTTGCTGCTGAATCACTTTGCAGAGAAGAAGATCTTCCTCTTATAGTGGCCATAGACTTGCAGCCTATGGCTCCAATCGAAGGTGTCATCCAAGTTCAAGGGGACATAACTAATGCTCGGACTGCCCAAGTGGTAAGTTTTAGATATTGTGCTTATGATATTGACTGTTGCTTTCACTGATATAGTTACTTTGCTTTTATGTAGCTGAACTGCTGAAGTTGTTTTTCCCAGCTGTAACTTTTGCGAAACCTAAAAGCAGCCACAATTCTAGTATAGGTAAAACAGTATAACTTTCACATGTGCGAATATGATTCCCTTACACTTAAAAGGCTAATCATCAAAGAGGCAAAATGTTGCTTTCTTGAGAGATTCTGATTGCATTTGTCCACTTTTTTTTTGTATAGAGGCATTTGCGGTCTGCGAAAATTACTCCCCACCCGAAGGATTTAACCCGAGAGATATGCATCGTTCCTTGGAGAAAGTTGAAAGCCCTTCAGGTGGAAGCGATCTCGGTAAAGAAAAAGAAAAAAAACTCCTGACCTTCACCTTCAAAATCTCTTCAAGTTAGACTCAACTAAGTTGTGCATTGTTGAGTAGTACAATTTTAAATACTCTTTCTCAACCACCTAATTTGTCACCTAAAATGCTCTCTTCATGTGAATTTAACCTTTTGGATAAGACAAAGAAACATTCTTGATTTGACTTGAGATTTTATATTTTCTTGGTACTTTGTAGATTGCAGTAGTGGCTGGCTTGAAGGACCCAACAGAGTTTATGTTCCATTCTTGGCATGTGGTGACTTAACCGGCTATGGCATGCGGTTCAGCCTCCGATCGCACCGCCTTATAAAGAGCTTAAGAAAGCTTCGGCACAAAGCTTCAACTCTTATTAAGTGTGATACAAACAAAGAAAAAGAGGAAAGCTTTTCGTTGGACTCTATAAAAGTTTGTAGTATGGAATGTTGAGGGACCTACAATTTCTGAAACGCTTGATGTTCGTTATGATGAGGTTATATAATGTATTTATATATATCTACGAAAACTTATGATGCTCGGTTATGGCTAACATCAAGGAACTAAACCCACGGAAGCATAGCCGGGAGGTGTAAAACCCATCACCTACTGCTCAAACCACAGATGATCTTTAGTCTAATGAAATCATTTATCTATTAGAATCCTTTATGTTAAAATCCTAAATATCATATCATTGAATCATATCTTTACATATCGTTTTCTCTTTTCTTGTTCTCTTCATAACCAAATTAGTCATGACTGATTTCATTCTTTTCTCCATGAAGTTTTTCGTTGAACATCTTTAACTTGCTTTTCTATAAAGGACATCATCCATTCGTCGCTTTAGTTGATCTAATCAACAGAAGATGAAAAACTAATTAAGCTCTCAGTTTATAGTAAAACTGTTAACTACGATAAATCACCTTCGAGGATCAAAACAATATAATCTTTTTGTAAACTTTTTATGTGTTGAGTGGGAAAAGAATTACAAAACTTTTATAAAACGTATCCAGAATTGAAGATACAAATGACAAATCGATATATGCGTACATGATTGCACTCTCGGGCTACATAAAAATTTAACTTATTGGGCCGAGATTTATTGGCCCACGTAAGAAACGGCGAAAACCCTAAATGAGAAGAAGCATATACTCTTGGCATCTCGTCCACGACTATATATTCAGCTTCCGATTGCTCTAACGCCTCCTGTCACTACTTTTCTCTCTCGCTCAATCTTTCCTTTCATTCTCCTCTAAGGTTAGTTCGTTTCTTCCATGACTTTTTCTCCGATTGTTGATGTTTATTTGTATTCTCGATTTTGCATAGGTTTAGCCCTCTTTTTTTCCTCCTTTTTGATGTTTAGATTACCAATATCGTCAAGTTTTGCTGTTGATCTCTGTTTATCGTCTGGGATTATTATACCAATCCATTGCTTCGTGTTGTGCATGCTATTGATGTCTGTTGTCGTAGTGGGTCTGTTATTGTTTATTAGATCTGGTCTTTTTGATGGTCTAAAGATGAAATTCGGACAAGATCGAAATCTTCCTTAAAAAGTTTATTGATTATGCGCTATTCGTTTTTCGCCTTTATGCTGTGATCCTTGAGTAATTGTGTGAATCGCTTGACTTTTTGTTTTACTGGTTAAATTTTAGGAAAAGTATACCTTTTTGCTTGATTCGTCTATATTTATTCACTAAGTAAGATATTTTGCAAGTACGATCTTATTATCTATGATAGAGCTTTCAATTTCTCTCTTTGAATCTACTTGGTATAAACTTTTCATTCAATTGCCTAATTCTTGTTTTTGTATGATTGCAGAGATTTTGTAGGTGACAGTCAAAAGTTAGCCAAAATGGTATGCCTTTTTCATTTATTTATTATTCTCTTTCGTCTGTCTACGGTCTATCTGGATTCCATGCTTATAAAATTTTTATAAAAAAAAACTTGCAGGTGAAGTTCACAGCCGATGAGCTTCGTAGGATTATGGACTATAAGCACAACATCCGTAATATGTCTGTTATTGCCCATGTCGACCATGGTACTATCTTCAGCTCTTTTCTTATAAATATCTCTAGCAACTGTTTCTAAATAATTACCCACATTAGACTTATTTATTATGCTAATGTATACTTATTTCTTCTTGACCAACAGGGAAATCTACCCTCACTGACTCCCTGGTCGCTGCCGCTGGTATTATTGCCCAAGAAGTTGCTGGTGATGTTCGTATGACTGATACCCGTGCTGATGAGGCAGAACGTGGTATTACAATCAAGTCCACCGGTATTTCTCTCTACTACGAGATGTCCGATGCTTCCTTGAAGAGTTTCACTGGAGCGAGAGATGGAAACGAATACCTCATCAATCTTATCGACTCCCCTGGGCACGTTGACTTTTCGTCCGAGGTCACTGCCGCTCTCCGTATTACAGATGGTGCTCTTGTCGTGGTCGACTGCATTGAGGGTGTCTGTGTGCAGACTGAGACCGTGCTCCGTCAAGCTCTTGGTGAAAGGATTAGGCCTGTCTTGACTGTTAACAAGATGGACAGGTGTTTCCTTGAACTCCAGGTTGATGGTGAGGAGGCTTACCAGACTTTCCAGAGGGTCATTGAGAATGCTAATGTCATCATGGCAACCTATGAGGATCCTCTCCTCGGTGATGTTCAGGTCTACCCAGAAAAGGGAACCGTGGCTTTCTCTGCTGGTCTCCACGGATGGGCTTTCACTCTGACCAACTTTGCTAAGATGTACGCTTCAAAGTTTGGTGTTGACGAATCTAAAATGATGGAGAGGCTCTGGGGTGAGAATTTCTTTGACCCTGCCACCAGGAAGTGGACCGGCAAAAACACTGGTTCCCCGACCTGCAAGCGTGGGTTTGTCCAGTTCTGTTACGAACCCATCAAGCAAATCATTGCCACTTGCATGAACGACCAGAAGGACAAGTTGTGGCCTATGTTGCAGAAGCTTGGTGTCCAGATGAAGAATGATGAGAAGGAGCTCATGGGTAAACCTTTGATGAAGCGTGTCATGCAGACATGGCTTCCTGCAAGTACCGCACTACTTGAGATGATGATCTTTCACCTGCCATCTCCCCACACTGCTCAGAGGTACCGTGTTGAGAACTTGTACGAAGGTCCCCTCGATGATCAGTATGCCACGGCCATCAGAAACTGTGATCCAAATGGTCCCCTCATGCTTTACGTTTCTAAGATGATTCCCGCCTCAGACAAGGGTAGATTCTTTGCCTTTGGACGTGTCTTTGCTGGTAAGGTGTCTACTGGTATGAAGGTCAGGATCATGGGACCCAACTTTGTCCCTGGTGAGAAGAAAGATTTGTATGTCAAGAGTGTCCAGAGAACCGTCATTTGGATGGGTAAGAGGCAGGAGACTGTTGAAGACGTTCCCTGTGGTAACACCGTTGCCATGGTTGGGCTGGATCAGTTCATCACCAAGAATGCCACCCTGACGAATGAGAAAGAAGTTGATGCCCACCCTATTCGTGCAATGAAGTTTTCCGTCTCCCCCGTTGTCCGTGTTGCTGTTCAGTGCAAGGTTGCATCCGACCTTCCCAAGCTTGTGGAAGGACTCAAGAGGCTGGCCAAGTCTGATCCTATGGTTGTGTGCACAATGGAAGAGTCAGGTGAGCACATTGTTGCTGGTGCTGGAGAACTCCATCTTGAGATTTGTCTCAAGGATCTTCAGGATGATTTCATGGGTGGAGCTGAGATCATCAAGTCAGACCCTGTTGTGTCGTTCCGTGAGACTGTCCTCGAGAGATCTGTCCGCACTGTGATGAGCAAATCCCCTAACAAGCACAACCGTCTTTACATGGAGGCCAGGCCGATGGAGGAAGGTCTAGCAGAGGCAATTGATGACGGCCGTATCGGCCCAAGAGACGACCCCAAGATCCGATCAAAGATCTTGGCAGAGGAGTTTGGATGGGACAAGGATCTTGCAAAGAAGATCTGGGCGTTTGGACCTGAAACCACGGGGCCTAACATGGTGGTTGACATGTGTAAGGGAGTTCAGTACCTTAATGAAATCAAGGATTCAGTTGTTGCTGGGTTCCAGTGGGCGTCCAAGGAAGGTCCTTTGGCAGAAGAGAACATGAGAGGTATTTGTTTTGAGGTTTGCGATGTGGTGCTCCACTCTGATGCCATCCACAGAGGTGGTGGTCAGGTTATCCCCACAGCCAGAAGGGTTATCTACGCCTCTCAGATCACTGCCAAGCCCAGACTCTTGGAGCCGGTTTACATGGTGGAGATCCAAGCACCAGAGGGAGCTCTTGGAGGAATCTACAGCGTGCTGAATCAGAAGCGTGGACACGTCTTTGAGGAGATGCAGAGGCCCGGAACACCACTGTACAACATCAAGGCATACTTGCCAGTCGTGGAGTCTTTTGGATTCTCGAGTCAGCTTAGGGCAGCAACCTCAGGACAGGCCTTCCCGCAGTGTGTGTTCGATCACTGGGAAATGATGTCATCTGACCCTCTCGAGGCAGGAACTCAGGCTTCAGTGCTGGTGGCTGACATCAGGAAGAGGAAGGGTTTGAAGGAAGCGATGACTCCACTCTCTGAGTTTGAAGATAAGCTGTAAGCAGCCAGCACTCTCCATTTGCTGTTTGCTCTCTCCGTCTCTCTACCTTATTTTTGTCTTTGTTTTTTTTTTTGTTTACTATTTTGGTATGATGGATTTGATACTCTTTTATCTCCCCTCCTCGATGTTTTACTTTTAGTTGAGAAGAACTTAATTATGTGTTCGCAAATATTTTGCTCTTGATTATTTGCCTTGCACTCTTATATTCTGTGTTCGTTTGGTCATATTCATATGCTTAGGTTGATGATAGTTTTGAGACTTTGGGAACGAATTTTCTTGTATGATGTCTCGTTAGTCTAGTTTTCCTGCGCAAACGTATTGCTAATTTATTAACTGTGGTGGTTTTCATACAACACTAAACATAAGACGGAACAGAAACTGAGTATCCATTTGAGTTCAATAAGAACGGACTTGTTACCACATCTCTTCAACCCTTGTACATACCATCTCGTTCATTCATAATAATCTACAAACACCCGAATTGGAATACACCCAAATTATTATCCCATCTATAATCTATTTAATCCTCTTTTGTGCAAAGAGGAAATGTTTTTATTGAGAGATGTACAAAATTCATCCCCTTAGCAATCTTGAATTGGGATATCGTTATGATTGATTTTTGTGGTCGTACAAGACAAATCAAAAAACGCCGGCGAGAAACTTCGGAGAAGGACCAGAATCAGCGGTTGTTTTATTTTGAAACGCGTTTCTGTGGTCGTTGGTCGGTGTGAAAACGCAAATTTCTACGAACGGAACAGACCACCATCTAACTAACAATAATGCCTTAAACGATAGGCAACTATAACATCAACAAACAAAAAATAAGTATAAATATAGAGAGACTTGAAGCTCTTCATTACATGTAAAATTCTAAAACTCATATTCATCTTCAGCTATCCAAACTCATAAGACAATACAAATCAAAATGTCTCATCAGCAACTCGGTGAGTCAATCCTTCCCTACATATATATATATATATATATATATATGACATTATGTTAAAGGGAAGGTTAGTAACTTTTTGGGCATATGAATCAATTTATTAATTGGACCCCATTTTTTTCCAATATATTGTATGAAGAAATGAAGCAGATAGTGAGTGAGGCACCGTACGTGACGGCGCCGCCACCGATGGGTTACCCGATGGTGATGATGAATGACTCTCCCCAAACTGTACAGCCGACGCAGCAGAGCAAAGGCAGCGGTGGTTTTTTACGTGGATGGTACTCTCTTTCACCCAATTCATATCATATTCATATATGTTACTTATATTTCTATTAATCTCCTCCCAATTTACCCAAGTTCTTTTGTCTTCAAGGTATTATTGAACATTGTTTCTTTCTCTCATTGCTTTCTATTTTGCAGTTTGGCTGCGATGTGCTGCTGCTGCGTTTTGGATTGTGTCTTCTAGGGCTAGTTGCATCTCTTTTTTCTTTTGATTCTTTCTGTTTTCTTTGTATATTTTGCTTTTTGGGAGTTTGCTATTTCTCATTGTTTCTGTTGAGGTTTCTCTATTACGTTTGATTCTTCATTATACTCTGTAATAATTACATTCTTTTCCTTTACTACTGAATCATTTTAAAAGTTTGTTATTTGCCGCCCGTTTTTTTGTCTACCATCAAATATAAACTAAATGGTCAGTCAGCACTTGGCAGCAAATCGAATTTCTTGCATCTTGTCAGTCATTTCAGCCAATATACAGAGAGAACACACACACACACACACAAAAAGAAAAAGGAAGAAGAATCTAAATTTGAGATTCATACAAAAGACTTTATAGTTGGTGTCAATTCAATAATCATCACTCCCATTGCCAATCCCATGAGATTTCTCATACCTCGTTTCTTATTCTAGAGAATTTTTTAACCTCATCTTCTGTTTCACAACCAATTACGTTTTCGGAATGTAAAAAAAAAAAAAGATATCACTATATATTGCAAAACCAAGAGCAGTGAAATTCGATGCTATAAAAGACCGACGTGCATAAACAAAACCTGTGATGTTCTGTGAAGAACTGATTTTGAGATCTCAAGGTTCTGCTATACGTTGAAGCGGAAAAGCATCACATCTCCTTCTTTAACAATGTACTCTTTACCCTCTGATCTCAACTGCAAAACAATATCAATTTCAAGAAAACTCCGAGTTAGCAGGAGATTCATATGAGAAATACTTCGCTATGGAGCAGGTCAATATATGGACATCCGGAAGAAACTCACAAGTCCTTTCTCTCTCGCTGCGGCAAGTGACCCAGCAGAGACAAAATCTTCATATGCAACCTGATTTAACAACAAAATTGACACAATCGAAATGATGCCCGGTTTCATAATGAAAGCAAATGCTAAGACAACTGAAGCTTTCGGTTTCCAATTTTAATGACCAAGAGGAAAAAATAAAATGCTTACAGTCTCGGCTCTAATAAAACCCTTCTCAAAGTCAGAGTGGATGACACCAGCAGCTTGTGGTGCAGTCATCCCTGTATCCACAGAAAATTTACAACAAAATTACTTAAATATTCCCAGGAAAATAATGCATTTTAAGAACCCTACTGATTGGAAACCAACCTGCATGAATTGTCCATGCTCTTGTTTCCTGCCACACAGAAGGACCAGTTTAGAGGATAAAGTTGTTTCAAATAAGTTTTTTTGTGTTTATCTGTGTTTCTTCACCTTTTCACCAGAAGTGAAGTATGTCTGCAAACCTAGCAGACTGTATGTTGCCCTGATAAGGTTCCCAAGGCCACTTTCGCTGACACCTAGCGAGTTCAAATATTCTGTCCTTTCCTCAAGAGGAAGTTCGGTTAACTCAGACTCAACCTGCTTCCACGAAAGGAAGATCTATTCAGGTAAAATCTCCAGACTACACGGAAACCTCAGCGCATAAAGATGTAGTAAATCCTGACCTGTGCTGAAACAACCACATGTCCAGACTGCAGATCAGAACAAAGACCCTTTACTTCTTCAACATAAGTATTCTTCTCCGGCTCAGCAAGATCGGTTTCAGCAACATTTGCGACGTAGATCATAGGCTTCATTGTAAGCAAGCAAAGATGCTTTACGACTTCCTTCTCGAGGTCAGTCAATGCGACAGACCTTGCAGGTTTCCCATCGAGAAGGGCCTCCTGAATTCTTTCCAAAGCAGATTTTTCGGCTTCCTCCTGTGTCATTGAATGTCACATACTCTTGTGATTTACCGCAGACTGGGTTATGAAATGTTTTGAGAGCTCAGTAATTTCTGGGGGAAATTTACCTTGACTTTGGATTGTGAATCCTTAGCCTTCCCTTTCTTAAGTCTCTCGATTCTTTTCCCAATCTGTATATAGCTTGTCAAAAGGTATAAATCAGCTCTATAAACTCGTTAAAGAGAAAGAAATGGGGGGAAAAAAAGAAGTCTTGTAGAGCGTTTTGAATAAAAGAAACAAATTCTAAATGTTAGACAAGAGCGAGAAAGGAATGGCTCTCAATGCACCTGATCTAAGTCGCAGAAAATAAGTTCGAGATTGATGACATCAATGTCAGACTTGGGATCAACTTTGCCATTGACATGAATAATGTCGTTGTCCTCAAAACAGCGGACCACCTGAGAGCAAAGAGTGTTAGGAGGATTATCCATCCATTGATCCATATGAGGGAAACACAAGGATAGAAAAAAGTGTGAAACCTGGAGGATGGAATCGACTTCTCGGATGTGAGATAAGAACTTATTGCCCAAACCCTGGAAAGATGAAAACTTTGTGAGTTAGGAACTTGTGAAATTGGATTGAGAAAGATATAGAGATAAAGAGAGAAATGGAATCAGACTTCGCCTTGACTGGCACCCTTGACAAGACCAGCAATGTCGACGAACTCAATGGAAGCAGGAACCAGTTTCTGGGAATTGCTGAGTTTGGAGAGAACTTGAAGACGGGAATCAGGAACAGCAACGATACCAACATTGGGCTCAATCGTGCAAAAGGGGAAATTAGCAGCTTGAGCCTTTCCATTCTCGACCTGAAAATATAAGGTAAGAATGGTGTTTGACGAAATGCCTGAGAGAGTGAGAGAGAAGAAGAAGGCAGGAAGACTTACGACGGCGTTAAAGAGAGTGGACTTGCCGACGTTAGGAAGACCGACGATTCCGGCTTTCAAGCTCATGCTAACTTTGGAGGAAAAGCATCGCTTGTGGAGGGTGAAAACTCCGACGAACTTGGATTCACCGGAGAAGAGGAGCGGGTTTCTGCAGAGAGGAGACTTGGAGGGCAGTAAAGTGAGAGCCGTGACAACGCTGCTACAAGCTGCTCTCGCCATCGTCAGTCAATAGCTAATAATCAATAATATGTGAAGGGCACTCTATCTCTCTGTCTTTAGCGTCACCGTCTCTTTGCCTCTTCTCTATCTCCTTTTATTATCTCGCCAATTGCGGATTTTTATTTGTATCCAAATTCAGAAATTAGAGTTTTGCTACTTTAAATTTTCGATTTTTGGCGATGTTGCATAATCTTAGAAGTAATTTTGACAAAATATTCACGACGACTCTCCAATCCTCTCTTAAAAAAAAAAAAAGGTCTGGTCAACTAAAGAAGTATGATGAAAACAGTGAAAATTTTCATTCATATTTGGATTCGTCAGGCTCTGCACATATATATATATATATAAGAGCCAAAAGCAAATTGTACAACATGGCAGAATGTTCAAACTTGAGATAAAAAAAAGTATGTTTTTCTAAAAAAAAAGGAAAAAAACTGGGGAATCAAAGAGACAGAGATTGGGATTGGTGTCATGATTGGTTGGTTCTACTTTGATCGCTGTCTCAACTAAAAAAGACAATTTGTCCCATCTTTCTACGCTTCCTCTTCAATCTCCTCATTCGCTTCTTCTTCCACTGCACAAAAATCTCCTAAACCGTATCTCGATATAGTTTATCCAATGCAGAATCTCGTTAATCCCCTAACAATCGTCGTGTTGCAGAATCTCTCAGTGCACATCTAACATCTTTCTTAACCAATAATTATTGGTATAACAAAATCGAAAACACACATATCTAGTGGGCTTAATTTAATAAAATGACCCAACTTCCTTCTTCTGGGCCGATGTTCTTAATGAAATCCAATAACGGATAGACACGTCATACTTGCTGTGCAGACTACGATGACAACTAGAAGAAGTTGAAACGTTGGTATTAGTTGTTTTTTGGGTCTAACGTTGGTATTAGTTGAGGAGTAACTTGTTTATCTTCTCAAGAAGCGCAAGGAGTGAAGTCTCGCAAGATTCAAAGGAAGAAGAAGAAGAAGAAGAGTCTAGCATTTTTATCTATTCATGCATGGATTCTCTTCTCCTTTCTCGCCCCGCTTTCATCTCTCAGCCTTCGTATGGAGCTCGAAATGTTAACGAGGAGAAACGAGTCTTGGAAAAATCAAAGTGGTACAGCTTCCTTTTGAACTCTGCCTCATGTTTTTTTTTTTTTTTTTTCATTTCTATACTGGCTTGGGGGTAGATTGATCCGATCCTTGTTTTGAATTCGTGATGATCTAGTTTACTCAACTGGCTTACGCAACGGAATTTCGACAAGATCAAGGATGAGATCGTTCAGACAATTATAAGAGGATCTCCCTCCGCTTTTGTTATCAAGGTTATATAATCCTCTGCCGCTTTTTTACAATATAAACTTTCTCATCTTTTTTTCTCTAATTAACGGTTTGATGATATATATATATATATATATATATATATATATGTGTGTGACAGTCTCTAGTGAGTTGCATTTTCGATATGGCAATGGTGGACAATGCCTATATCCTGTTCGCTCGTCTATGCGTGGAGCTATTTAACGCGCTACCCCCATTTCGATCTGATGAATCTCACGGTGAGATCACCACTTTTGTGAGGCTCTTCTTGTCCAAATGCCGAAAGGAGCTTGAAAGCTCATCTCCTGATCAAACTTCTGCTAGACCACCACCGCTTGTTTTTGTTGAGGAATCAAACTGCTGGAGATTTATCAAGACCGTGCGGGTTTTGGCTGAAATTTTCAAGAATAGCATGGTCACTGAAACAACAAGGCAGAGTATTATCCAGGTTAATGTTTGCCTTTTGTCTCTTTAGAGAGATCAAGTGCGTAATTAATTTTAAAAAGTATGAAAGAAAAAAAAAAGGTCTCTAGCTAGCTAGTTTCTCTATTTACTTGGTTAACAATGTACTAATGTAGGTGCTTATGAATCCCATATTCCCACCTGAGAGGAATACAGATGCGATGAATTATTTTCTGTCCTACATTGGCAAACTAGCTGACTTCCAATTTTCTGATGAAAATGTCAAGCAGCTGCTAGTGCAAAGTTCTCGGGTAACACCCACCTCCATCAAAATTTTGGATTACCCATTTGGTTTGACTATTTATTTCTATATATACCTGATCTCTCTAACGCTGGCCAGTTTGATTGTAGGATGTAGAGTTGGAGAGGAAAGAAGCAGAAGACGCACTTGCTAGTCAAAAAGGAGAACTAGAGTTGATGAAACGGTTACTTGAGTCTTACAAGGAAGAAAAAGTTCAATTGCATTTACAAGTTCAAGGTTTTGAGAAAAAGTACCAAGAGGAGCTGAAGCTAAGGAAAGAAACAGAATATGCGCTTGCTATAGAACGGGAGAACATAGAGAAGGTAAGGCTTCGACTGGAAACTCTCGAAAATGAACATACTCATATGCTGTTGAAAGCTGAGGAGCTCGAGAGCAATTACGAGGTCGAGCTGGTTCAAAGGAAAGAATCAGAAATCGCGCTAAAGAAAGCGAGGAAAGAGTTGGAGGCGATGACGCAAGAGCTTGCAACTTGTCAAATAGAAAAAGAGAACATGGCCTCGCAGGTCAGAACTTGGCAGGACAAATACGACCAAGAGTCGAGCCTGAGGAAAGAAACAGAGGATGCTCTGTCTAAAGAGAAACAAGAGCTTCAGATAGTCAAGGGACTACTCGATTCATACAACCAAGCAGCGGATGTGATGCGAGAAGAGAGGGACAATGCTCTCCAAACAGTTCAAGAGCTCACCAGAAAGCAATTGGAAGAGCGTCAACCTCCAGCGTCGTTTTTCTGCCCTATCACACAGGCAAGCCCGTTTCCTTACAAAAAGATTGCTTGCACAACACTCAAATCTGATCTAGAATATAAAATAATATCTCTGCCTTGCTTGTGTGTCATTCATATATAATTTTCGCAGGAGGTGATGAAAGATCCACACTTTACGGCCGATGGATTTACATACGAAGCAGAAGCTATTAAGAGATGGCTTAGCACAGGTCACGATACATCGCCGATGACTAATGTCAGGCTTTCTCATCGCACCCTTACCCCCAACCGTGCTCTCCGCTCTGCTATTCAGGAGTTTGGTTTGATTCTTCCCGCTTCTTGATATTGATCATATTATAATGGCCTCACGAGTCCCTACTCTGCTACACTTAAGTTCTATGTATGAGCCTCTTTTTGAATTTGTGATCCAGTTTTCTTTAGCTTACTCTACTATTCAGGACCATGTTCTTCTTTCATAAATAAATATTCCTCATATCGGAAAACTGATCAACCCAAACTCTAATGAAGCGTCGACCTCCACCATCGTTTGTTTGCCCTATCTCGATCCCCTGGCAATTGTGCACATATATATCTTTACAAGAAGATTACTTGCACAACACTCAATCTCGTAGACTAGTAATATGTTTTGGTTGTGAGGTTTTATATTTTTGGCAGGAGGTCATGAACATTTGATCCACACTTTGCTGCCGATCGATGGACATACGTACAGAAACAGAAGCTACCTTTAGCACAGATCACGATACGTCACCGTTGACAAACCTCGAGCTTTCTCATTGCAATCTTGTCCCCAACCGTGCGTGCGAATCAAGAGTTGGAATCATTCTTCCTGCTTTTGTTAGCAATTAATTGGATTTTTTTAAAAAAGAAAAAAAGTCTAATTTTTATGGATCGATCCTTGTAGAAGTAATTTATGGATCGATCCTTGGGTAGTTTTATAATTTACGTGGCGAACTAACTGGTATTGGTTTATTGCTAAAAAAACAGAATGATTTCTCTCTCCAATTGAGTTGGCGGATTGGTAATGGTTTACAGCTAAAAAGAACAGAATTGCTTCTCTCTCAGTCGAGTCAAATTTATTGGACAAATTAAAAAAAAAATTAATAAAATAATATTAACAACTCCTTTTTGAATTTTTTGATATACATGCTCTAATACTTTGATTTTGGGCCTGCACTCTACTATTTATGAACCTCTTTTCTTGAGGTTTTCAATCCAATGTATTTCATAAATTAGGGAGATTACTATAGTAACCATCCACTGAACCAATACCGGATCGTACGTTACGTGGCTCAATCCGTGCCTTGTTTTTCTTTCTTTAAATATCCGATAAATGGAAATAAAGCCAAATTTTCTCAGAACGGTAAAGAATAAAATTGTGCTTTCTACACGCCTAAAACGCCATGAAAAGACAAACATACAAAATACCAAGAAAAAAAGTAAAAGCAACCCAAAATATTAACCTATATGTTTCCCTTTCTTTAAAACATAAAAAAGTCACGTGATGTAAGACTACTATTTGATCGCCATTTTTCAGACACTGATATCTATCCGGCCCTTCTTGTAACATGGAATAGTTTTTTTTTTTTTTTGGAATAGTTTTTCAGATTTCGAAATAATTACATCAAACCGTAAAAAAACAAATTATCAGTAATCACTGACCCAACTCAAGCCCTAAAGTCTCCTATCTTCTTACAATTTGTTATTTTTTAATGAGTTAGAGAGAGAGGAATAATAAAATGAGAGAGAGAGAGACAAAAGTGAGAGAGGAGCAAGAACAAGAAAGTACGTAGATGTACAGAGGGTGATAAGAAGAGGACAAGACAATGGCCTGCAGAATTTTTTTACACATCGGTCAATAAACTTCCAATATTGGCTCTATCATTGCAACTTGTTACCCAAAAACATATAGATACACACTTTTTATACACTATATATTCACCTACCAGACAAACTTTTTCAATTTTTCTTGTTTGTTTGTTTTCTTTCTTACCTCATTTTATTCAATGTTTCAATTATTATTATTCAAGGTTCTTTGTAAACAAACAGCTAAGAACCCAGCTTAAAAGTTGTCCTCTCTTCTCTACAACTAGTCTATATGTTCCGTATCAAAAACATGTCATTCACTCAAAAAAAAAAAAACCTTGTGTACTTACAAATAACAGTCAATTTTTTAGTTATTTGTTAATTTTGGGTTCCATATATCATAATAAACCCTAGCTAAGTTTAAGGTTTTGATTGAATATTACATTTACAGGTTCTGTCGTTTTTGTAAAAGAAACCAAGATCAAGAAGGGATGATCAAGAGTTAATTATATAATTAGCTCACGTCTATATACTACTTTAATAGCCATTTCATGGATTAACATATTTAGGAAACGATTCTTTTTCTTCTTTGTCGGCCTTTTTTCTACTTAGGCCATTTGTCGTGACATAACCTTATTATATATAGAGGGAGGAACAATAAAGATGGGAAAACAAAAAAAGACTGGATGCAAAAAAGACAGAGCGAGAATCTTTACAGAGGGCACAACACTGGGAATTATCACGTTCTCTCATTCATTTCCCTCTTTTTTGTTATCTTTTCAATTAATTATAAAGTCTTCATTATCAAATGTCTATTTCACATAATGTAATAATGGTGGATTAAATGTAGTATTGAATGATTTAGGACAATATAATTTGAATATTTAGATTTAGTAGTATTTGCTATAGCCTATAGCGAAACAAACGACAAGATGAAGATAACTAGGTCCGGTAAAAAAGATACGTCAGAAAATTTGCATTGATGTCAGATCTATATTGATTTTATGGCGTACAAAAATTATACTATTGCTAGTGAAAATTGGATGGTTTGTAGCCAGCAACAGATTTATAGGCTTAATAATTGTGTTGTGTCGTTTATAAATTGATATTGATAGATCATATTATTTGACCTAGCCGCTACTTCTCACTAGAGTTTGACAACAACAAAAATGAAGTGGTTGTCTGTGTTTAATATGATGATTCTCTTGTCGTCTTATCGTGGCCGATTGAGGAAGAATAATCCAACGGCTGGGATTTAAGAAATGATGTTCCAGAATCACGAGCAACTTTAATTCTTTTTCGTCTTTATCATTTTTTGAAAAAAAAAAATACTAATAAAAATTATTCGAACTTGATTTACTGGCCTCTGCAGCTAAGTACTAGTTAGTTAGTATAAATGACAGCTCTCTTCACTATTTGACCCTTAACAGTGTTTATTCATCAATAATCCCAGATCTGTCCCTTAATTACATATATTAATATAAGTTAACTGCCTCTTCAGTCTCTTGAAATCTCCAAACACACAGATTGACATATTATATACATAATACAGACAACAGATTCAAGAAGAATGTGACGATATTACTAAGGTTTGGACTAAAAGAACAGTCAGCGTTTTAAAATCGGTTGTTTAAATACTTAGTTGTTTAGCTAGATGATACTATTTTACTCATTGTATATTTGTTTGTGTCAAAAATCAAAAATAACGAGCATTTAGTTGGATCTGCCTAGATTCTTTTCTCTTTTTTTGGTAGCGAAGCTTTTTTTTTTTTTTTTTTTTTTTTCCACAACCCAACTATTACATCACATTTGGCCCGTTAAAGAGTTGGTCCGAAAACCATCTTCAACTGGCTCGGTATGAATGATTTGGGAAAAAATATAGCCTCTTGCTCGAGCTCCTTTTCAAGACTATCCGCTCGGACATTTGAACTTCTGGAGATATGGGAGAGAGTGAAATCCAAAAAATTTTCTCGAAGATTGCGGAAGGCTTCTAACTCTGATAAGAATGATGGCCAATCTGATGGCGATTCAGACATGCTAATCAGATCCGAACAATCGGTTTGAAAGTGTACAGATAAAATTTGTGTATCTTTCACGCAAGACATAGCCCATAATAAGCTCTCTAATTCGGCATGAAGGGCCGATAGGCTTCTACGATAGCCTTGAAGGCCAAAAGTCTCGCCACCTCTTTCCTTCTTCAGACTCCACCCGAACCCACTAACCAGGCCAATGCCTATCCAGGATGCATCAACCTGACAAATTGGGAACCTCAGGGTATCGGGTAGAGGACTCAGGAGCAAAGGAGTGAGCGGAGCCTCTTCTGATCCGTATTCTTCTTCTTCCGGTTGGTTTGTAATCTTCCAACTTTCGGCTTCAACCTTGACGTGGATCAAAGTATCTATCGGGAAATTTCTTTCCCGTTGAAGATCTTGTCGTTCCTCGCTTTCCAAATATACCACAAGATCCAAGGATAAATATCCTTTTGAGGATATGTCATGCCTAACACTTTTGTTTTCCAAAAGAGAAAGCTCATATTTTGGTAAATAGAGATACTCGGGAAGACACCCGGAAGGGACGGATAGTCCGATAACGCCCAGACTTGTAAAGCCGGGGGACATAAAAACAGAAGATGGTTAATAGATTCTTCAGGATTCCCACAGCGGGGGCAACTCTTATCCGTTCCCATATGCATGTAGGTTAGGTTTTGGCAAGTATCAATACATCCTGATAAAGCTTGCCACATAAAATGCTTCATTTTTCCAGGCGTCCGTACTTTCCAAACGTAGCTTTGAAGAGCTGTGATACTCGGTTCTCTCACGACATCCAAATTCTGATCAAGGTTTGATTTCCTAATCAGGTCATATCCGGATTTAACCGTGTATATTCCTGTTTTAGTATGGTTCCACGCAAATCCATCAAGGGTACGGTTCCTACTAGGTCTCAACCCAAGGATAAGAGAGACATCCTCAGGTTGGAAAAATTCTCTTAGAAGAGGCTCATCCCATTGCTTCGTATCTTGACGGATAAAAGAGTAAACTAACACTTTTGGGTCCTGAAGTCCAATCTGGAAGGTTGCTCTTGGTGGACGGGCCCTGGCGTCAGGTATCCAAGGTTCACTCCATGCCCTCGTATTTAGTCCCGACCCTATTGTCTTCCTTAGTCCCATTTTAAGATACGGTTTTGCGGCCAACATACTCCTCCATCCATAGGATGGTGAGTAGACATTTCGATCCTCTAACGGGTCTGATTGTCGATAATATCTTCCTCTTAGCACCCGAGCCAGAAGAGATGAAGGGTACTGAATGAGTCTCCATAGTTGCTTTGCTAGCAAGGCTAGGTTAAAATCATTTAGATCTCGAAATCCAAGACCTCCCATGTCATGTGGAATACAAATCTTGTCCCAGGCAATCCAGTGGATCCCACTACTAGATTGTTTTGAACTCCACCGAAAATTGGCCATGGCGCTCCGAAGTTTGTCTGTAACCCCTTTAGGGAGGAGAAAACAAGACATGACGTAAGTGGGAATGGCTTGAGCCACTGATTTAATCTGAATCTCTTTTCCACCCTTGGAAAGAAGTCTTGCGGACCAATTATTAACACGATACTTAGGCGTTCATGAACAAAAGAGAAGACCTTCTTCTTTGATCCACAGATTTGCTCTGGTAGACCCAGGTACATGCCCATACCGCCTTCTGTAGTAATACCTATGGTATTTTTAATATTTCGTTTGAGATCCGGGTCCACTCTATCTCCAAACATGATAGATGATTTCCCCAAATTCAGTTGTTGTCCCGATCCCATTCCATAAGTGTTTATGATTTGGAGAATCTCCGCTCCTTGTTGGATATCCGCTTTACAGAAAAACAGGCTGTCATCAGCAAAGAGAAGGTGGGAAACTGGGGGACTTGCTTGAGCAATTTTCAGCCCAGAGATTCGCTCCTCTTCCTCTGCTCCCTTAAGAAGCGAAATAAGGCTTTCTGTGCACAGAATGAAAAGGAAAAGGGATAGAGGATCCCCTTGCCTTAAGCCCCTCGACGGTTTGATGTTACCTTTAGGTTCTCCATTAATAAGGATCTGGTATGAAACTGATGAGATGCAAAACATCAGTAAACTGACCCATCTTGAAAATACGTAGATGCCACTTTTTCTATTCCTCTTGCATTTTCCACCAAATGTCCGTTACTATCCTTAAGGGAGACGATGCGATTCCTGGCTCTCCTTTGTTTAGTGAGAGCATGGAAGAATTTAGTGTTTTTATCACCGTCTTTGTGCCATTTCTCCCGACTCTTCTGTTGCCAGAACATATATTCTTCCCTAAGGGCAGCACAGAGTTTCCTCCTGATGTCTTCAATTTCCTCTAGTGTTGTATTATCATCATCTTGAGCTCAGTCCAGTTGTTTTTTTAATTCTTCGATCATTTTTTCCGAGTTAGTCGGAAAGGATTTCTTCTAAACAGAGATGTTTTTCGGCATTGTGCAACCTTTTGATGACAATCTCGACGTGAGATTTCATCAAAGGGGCCCCACCCGGAAATGACTGTCTCTTTAAAACCAGGTTTTCCAATCCATCTTTTATCGAATCAAAAAGATTATTTCTTCCTTATGTTGTCGATTTTTATCATAGCTAATATTGGTCGATGATCCGATCCCCAAAGTTTCATATACTCCACCGAAGAGTGAAAAAATTTTGAAAGCCATTCTCCATTTCCAAGAGCTCTGTCTAGACGACATTTGACTTTGCCAGACCGTCTTCTTCCAACCCAGGAAAAAGAATTTCCTTTGTATGGGAAGTCAAGCATTCCACAGCTATCTAGCATAGTTCGAAATGGAATAAATGAGCTTTCTGGTCTCCTCCTACCTCCCCGTTTCTCATGATTTCCGGTAATCTCATTAAAATTACCTATCATAAACCATGCTTCTTTTCTGGTAGTGCTTATCCTTGTTAGACGTTCCCAAACATATTCTCAATTATTTACAACCGGATCACCATAAACAAACGTCATAAAAATTTTATGTCCGTCTAGACTTGATTCAACATCAATCAAATGCTCATCAGAATAGATAATAGAGACCGTAGGTTCATCCATATAAAAATGAGCTAGACCGCCACTTCGACCTCTCGGTTCAACCGTGAAAACATGGTTATATCCAAAATGAACTTTCATATCTTGCAGAAGGTAACGATTATTTTTGGTTTCCGACAAAAAAAGAAACCTCAGTTGAAAACATTTGTAGAGTTTGATCTTTTATCAGATCTGAACCAGCTCTTTGACAATTCCACCCGATGATATTCATATTAGGCAGAAGTTTTTGATTTCTAATTTAAAACTTAGATGTGTTTTAGCCAAAAAAACAGTCTTGGGCTTAGCCCGAAATTGAATTAGATCCACTAATTTAGTGACCCAATAATGATATTAGGTCAAAAGTTTTTTGTTTTTTTGTTTTTGTTTTCCTTGCCGCCGGTTAGTATCTCCACCGCCACTACAAGCCAGACTGGCAAGCTTAGAGTCAGCTTTTGACAAGATCAAAGACGAGAACGTAAAGAGCACTGCCGGTACGCCTTTCTTTGTCTCATCAGCTAGCGCCTTCTTTCTTCAGTAAGTGCCGCTGCAGCGGTCTTTCTTGGTCAAAAGAACTTTAATTGATGCAGTTGGAATTTTCCTTCAAAGAGCAAGCCTTGTGTGGGATGTGTTTGGGACAACTTAGCATAAAGCTAGATTTCTTCAGATCTTGGATTCTTTAATCTTCGGTACACCATAAAAAACTTCCCAAAACAGGAGAGGTCTTCAGTCTTGGCAGCAACAGGTCTTCAATCTTTAGAGGTGAACAAAGATTTCCTTCATCGGAGAGAGGGGACTTCTGGTCTTGATGCAGCTTCTTCGGATGAGAATTCCATATCACAGAGAATTCCATATCACAGCTTCTTCGGATGAGAATTTCCGTCCAATTAATGGCGATGGCTGAGGAGGAGGAGCTAGATCTGGTGACAGCAGAGATCCACGGGTATCCGGCGGGTCAGGGGATCTGGTGGTTCCAGATGAATCACAGAAACCGTCACCATCGACGACGTCCGGCCGTAACAGATCTAACGGGTCGATTCCTGCGTCTTGAAGTTCAGATCTGAGTTTCTGCTAAATTGCTCAATTCAAAAAGAGACGAAGAGGAAGAGAAGAAGAGAACGAAGGAGAAGAAAACCCAGCAAACATGACGTTCATGCTGCTGCAGATTGCTGAGAAATTTTTTCCTCCTGAACCATATAAACAAGACAAGCATACAATAAAAAATAACCGTAGTTGTCACTTTTTTGGTAGCGAAGCTGAATAACCAAAATCACGATGTTAAATAAAAAAACAAAAAAAAAAAAAAACAAAATCACTTCAATCGATATATCACAGTGATTAATCAATCCCTAAAAGCTAAACCTGCTTAGCTACGCTGTCAACTTTTTGAACATTGCAAAAGAGTAGGGTCTAAGATGTATATGGATGTTTTGTGAAGACATTAGTGATCTTCTTGATTTGGTCCACCGACCAATAATTTCAGTCCGTCCTCTCTACTCTACTAGTAAGTAGTTACTTCCAATTAGTGGTCTTCTAAAGATGCATGCACTTCCAATTAGTCTACTTCTCTCTACTTTTTGTGAGTTTAAACCAAGAGATCAAAAGCTGTCTTTTTAGTTTGTTTCTCCTTAAACTATTGCACTTGCTACGTTGTCGTATTCCCTAAAAAGAAGACATATTTCAAATTGAACAATGCCAAGGCTAAAGACCTTCACTGACAGTGACATGCAAACACATTAGGCAAAAAGGAAAACAAGCCTCTTGCCTTTTTAGCTCGATAATTAAACCAGCAACTTCTCCCCTAACCAGTAATTACAAATCACTCAATTTCCTTATATATTTCCACTAATTAATTAAAATGTATTTTTAAACATACCGAAATCTTTTTAAGCGATCTCCGAACATGGCAAGCACAGCACCCTTTTTGGTCAGAATTATTTTCCATATATATAATATTCATCGAATTTATCGTTATCAGAGAAGTTCTACTACTATACTAGTATAGTAGTATTTTAGATCTTTTAAATTTACTGCGATCGATGAGGTTTTGAAAGAAGTTAGAAAATTGTGATTAATGCGGTAAACCGAGAAAGAAATAGTTAAACCGTATTTACATATTCCGCCCTCAAATATAATGACAGTTTACAGGACAGCCCCGCAAAAAAAAAAGCGTTAATATGATTCCTATCTCTGAAAAAAACACTTAGCGGTTCTAAGTTACTGACTCGATCCGGTTAACTTCTTATTGTTCGCATTTTGGTTCAAGCCTGGTTCGATTGGTCCGGTTCTTGCCGTTGCTCTGTAACTGCGATTTGTTCCCCGGAGACGGAGAAGACAACGAAGAAGAAGACGATGCAGACGAAGAAGACGAAGACGAAGAGAAAAGCTGTCCGAAGAAGAGGCCAGACTTAAGCGAAGAAACCGGGACATTGAGCACCGGCGTGATTCTGACATTAGCCGAGTACGATCTGGGCATTCCATGGTGCTGCTTCATTCTGGGTCCGCCGGTGAAGCTTCCGGGGCTGCTCGAGCTTCTTTCCAGTCCGTGAAACACGATTTTACCGGAGGCGTTAAGTCTCGGACTATCGGCCGTCACAGTGACACCACGTGGTTCGCCGGCGGTCATGTTCGATGATCCATCGGCGGAAGAATTAGACGGACGCCTGGGCTTGGCTGATCTGATCCTGGGATGGTTAGGGTTGCGTAAATGGGTCCGAGAGGGAGCGAAGGGATTGGGACTGGGTTTGTCGAGATCGAGCGAGAGCCTGGGAAGGTCGTCGATCTCGTGGCCGGAGGAGGAGGAGGAGGAGGAGAGGGATAGACGCGAAGAGGCGATCGAGATCGATTCGGAGACGTCTGATTCCTTGAGCAGCGGAGACGGCGACGAGGCAGTGGAGGAGGATTTGGATCCACGGTGAAGAAATTGCTTAAACGACGGCGTTTTGAGGTTTCTGGAGGAGGAGGAGGAGGAGGAAGAAGACGTCGTCATTTTAACAGAATCATGTGCCTTGACAAGCCTCTTGAGGCCTAAAAGCTCTCGCCATCTAGTTGTGCAACGAGGAGCTTTCGGGGAGAAGAGGTCGGAGATCTCCATCTCTAGCCTCCGGCATGGTTTCAAGACCTCCGGCGACGCCTGTGGCTCCGTCTTCGAGCCAGAGAACTTCAGAGGTACGAGTTTCCCGTCCGAGAAGAGCTCGTCGGCGGAGAGCATTTTGACCGGATCTTCGAGACAAAACTCGAAATCCACCACTGGATCTTCTTGGTGCGTATCAGATTCCTTGACGAGGGAGGAAGAAGAGCACCTTTCTTCTCGGCTCGACCACCCGTATCCCGCCGGCGAAACACCGGCGTTGTTGACGCAGACGGAAGCCATATCTCCGGTCGTAACTAAAAAAAGAAAGAATCTTTGGAGAGATTCTGCGAGGGTTTGGAGACGAGTGAGAGTGACAGAGACAAGCATTTATATATACATACACACAGCTCATCCTCGGGTTGGGAACACCCGTACACACTTGCCCCGGTTCATTCGGGTCGGTCTTTTCTTCAGTGGGTCGGGTTTATCTCCGTAACTAATGGGCCTGAGAACATTGTACAGTATTTCCTTCTTTATTATATTCTCTTTTTAACAACAACAGTTTGTTAGATTTTTTGAAAACGCTGATGTTTTTTTTGTTTTTAAAACCAGGACTCAAACATTTTTTTTTTTTTTTCAGGACTCAAACATTGATGTTTGTTACTTAATTGTCAGTGGTTAATGTTTTACTAAGATAGGATTATGATATGGTTCCTGTGGCAATTTAGCTTTCTTTCTTTTTGTCGTGTTTGTGATATCAAGTGTGCACGTTTTCGGTAATTCATCATGAATCTATTCTAAGATATGATTAATGTTCACATATGATGATGATCTTGTTGGAGACAACTTTTTTCTTCAGACCAATAAAAAACAAACAAGAGAAAGACACGTGGCACATCAAATCAGCAAAGGCAAACTTCCTTCAATTCCCCAAGAAGAAGCAACAACCTCAGATTATTTCGTCAGGATTTGATAACTTTTGTTTTGTGATTTTCACAATCATCCACTTCAAAAAACACTTTATAGTTTATCGTCAGATTCGTACATAAATTTTTCTTAAATGCATATGTGAACATATCGCTAATATATGAATATAACGATGAATCATGCACATTATCTATTGTCTTATTATAGCTCACACATTTCGTACTAATTAAGTCGCAAATAAATTCCCAAATCGACATATAACTATCTCCTTCATTCATTTTCATTTGTATTTTATCAGTCTTGTGGTATGATTTATGATTTGATCAGTATTAAAGAACCATGCAACTTCCAATTATCCCAAAAAGTTCTACGTGTGCTCTAGTTCTAGACGGGTGAGAAAAGACTGAACGATCAAGAAGATATAGATACGATCAGATCGCGACGAGGATAAAGATGAGTCGCTGTCCACATATATAGTCACATAGTGAAGCGATTTGGGGAGAGTAGAGGGATTTCATTGGCTCATGGGAGTCATATCTTTGTCGCTGCTCGCTTGTGAAGCTGATTCATTTTCTTTGTTTATTTAAAATACAATGATTATGTTAAAGGTGTAAACTAAAAACCTACACAAAATTAGAGGTTTAAATTAAAAAATATTTACAAAAAATTATGATATTTTTCCTATTAGTTTTTATTGGGGTAGGGTAGCCTTTGTTCTGGTGCTTTGTGGGTTATGATATTAGTATATTACTATATAATATTCATCTAATCATAGATCGATCGATCTGAGTAGTTAAAGCGACTTAAAATCTATGTCTAGAAAATATCCCAAAAATGAGTCTTGGAATGAGGCTTGATGAGATCTATAAAATCTAATATCTCACCAACCGGTCTAGTATTTGTCTGGATTCAAAATTTAATACATTCTACAAATAGATACATCAACTAAGGATAATTTCAAGTCGTTCCTAGTTGAATGATGATGCTTCACCTATTAAGATGAATTTTCTTATTGTTTGTAATCAAATATATCGTCGTCTTGATTTATTTTCTGCCTTGATTTCTACTTTCTAAGTTCTGTGATAGTTTTATCTTTTAGAATTCTCACGGGCTCAGCCGAAAAAACCTTATAAAATATATATAATATATATTATAACTCGTATGCATGCATATATGGGCTAAAACATACAATATTGTATCATAAAGGAATGCCCAATACCGCACATACTCCAAGGATTTTGGTTGTATCCAATGGGATTGAGAGGAAGTATAAGTCCGAAAATACATTAATTGAAAACTACAAAGCTAGAGGAACGAACTCAGATAGTTTTGTCTCTATCCAAATATCAAAAGAATTGATGTTTGACCAAGTCCAACTTAATTTAAAGGGGGTTTGTTGTGGCGATGGTGGCCAATCACTTGCGCTTCTTCAAGAAGGTCACAACAAACGACAACATCGAAGCCAATACCTTCCCCACGCTTTGATAATATTGAATCTGTACGTATATAGTGTATATCTATGGTTCTCTCCTTCATTATTCAATATTCCCTCATTTAACATTCAATGAATCTCTATCTATATCGTTATCGTAATTCGTAACGGCTGATATATATCGATCTTCCATAATTTCCTTGTTATTAAACGACTACTAGCATGCATGTTGTAACATACTCCTATGATGATGATCTCAGAGGTAACGACGAAAATCATATACTGCCTTTGTTTATTCACGTGGCACGGTTTGAGGTCTAATTTTTGTTTGTTTATTTATATCTAGGGTATAAAATCTCCATGTCATTACGAAGAAAAAAAAATCTTCATGTAATGACCAAATGGTTGTATTAAATTATCACCGTTACTCATTTTATAATACTGTAGGTTGTAGAAATTTCGGACAAGGCGAAATGAATGGGTTCACGTCTCTGGGCCACGCGGGCCTTTTCAGATCCAGCTGTTCCCAGGAATTATTCATTTGATTTATTCGGATTATGTTGTTTTTTATAACGAATCAATTGTGTTTATTTATTTTTTGATACTAAATTGTGTTTATGACTACGACGAGTTATATTATTGCATATTTAAGGGCGGAGATTACAATGCGAGACCATTTTACAAAGACGACGGCAATAAATAATCAGAAAAGCTGAGGTGACATGAACTATTTTGAATTTATTAAAACCATTCAGAGACGGAATATAAATTTAAGGGAATTTAATTCATCAGTAGTAAATTAAGAAATTAATCAAATGTAGTAGTACGCTATTGCAATCTTTAATTGTTGAAAAAGAAAAAAATCTTTAATTGTTGTCTCCTAATTCATGGCAGCCATCCCACTGTTTATGTATACAGAAACAGAGCATAATGCATTATTAAAGGTTTTAACCAAAACCATTTGTTTGTTCATTTCTTGGTTTTTTCACTAGCAAGTTTATAATTACTAAACGAGTGATGGTTTAATGCTACGTAAAAGTCTCTAAAATCACTAATTCAACTCCATTTAGTAAAAGATGATTGACGACTTAAAGATCATATTATCAACGGTTGATCCAAGAGACCGAGGAAAATTATGGATATAACTTTTAAAATCTATAAAACAAAATAGTTCATATATATAATCGGTAACCAAATGTTATATATATCTTTAGTTTTGTTTCTTACATCGAATCAAAAATTGTTCTTTTGCTTTATCACCTAACATATCATTGGAAAAATATCCTCGACACACATAATTTCAAGGCAAACATTTAACCCTGAATATTTTCTCATTATGTTCTTATGCAATGTTTTAGGTTACCAGTAGTATAAATTAAATTAATGGGTTTTTGCTAAAAATAAACTAAAACTTGATTTTAAATACAAAAATAGACCCCTGATTTAACATTTGACAAAAATAACCTAAAAAAGTAGTAAAAAGACATTTAATCATGTATGACCAAACAAAAAACGGATATCTTAATTACCGTTTAAACCCTGACGAAGTCTACTAAAGTCTAGTAGACTTCTTACAAAAGATATGAAGTCTACTATATAAAAGATATTTTGCTGGAAAAAAAAACATTGTTGATAGAAAATTATAGCTGTTTCTCTCGTGTTTCTCTCATGTAAGAGGCGATATTCTCGCATTCGCCGAATTCCTCTTGTTACTGGATTTTTTGTTGGTCGACGGCAGAAAATGGTAACTCTTCCTCACTCGTCTTCTTTTTGCCGTTGACAAAAACTCTCTCAAGATCTGTTTTTTTTTAGATTTGCTTGCGGCCAGAGGTCGTTTTGTCATTTTTCTCCTACGGCGACTTGATTTGAATGCTTCTACGGCGGTCGCACGGCCTAATCCTTATGGCTTTCAAAAACTGGTGACTTCTCTCCGACCAGCCATCGACGCCACCATAGAAGAATTCTCCGCCGCTCGACGCCACCATAGAAGAACAAGAAGAAACCGGAGAAGATCCATCACAACGACAAGAGATGTCAAAGGTTTGGATTATTTTTTGTTGAATGGTGTTTAAGTAGTGTATGAGCTTAGATTTATTGAATGGTGTTTTAGATTTATTGAATGGTGTTTCACCGAGGATGCTGATTTGTCAAGAATATGAACTGACTTGCATATTCAAAAACCACATTTGGTTGATAGAATAGCTGTAAGAAATTCATTTGACTCTGGTTGTCTTATGTATACCTTAAAGTTGCTTTACTAATATTGTTTTTTTTTCTTTCAGGCCCTTTTCTCTGCCAATGCTGCTGCTTTGGCTTTAAGGATGTCTTCCCCAAGAGTCACAAATTTGAAGGATGTAAGTCTGACTTGTTGAAATTTTTCTTAATCTTTTTTTGCAGTTGCTTAGTCTTTTGTTTTCTAGGAAGGATATACAGTCTTACTTGCTAAGTAGCGACTTCATCTTCATTTTGCTTATGGACTAGCCTTGTATCAAATCTAAATATTGTTATGAAATGATAGATTTCCATTAAATTCTTAGACTCTTACTTTTATTTTTTTTCTCTGATGTATTAGTCTTCATTTACCAGTTGAAGGATTAAAATGACCAATTGATAGGCGTTGATAGTCTTCAAAGTCAATGTTGACAATTGAGTGTGAGTTTCTTTCATCAAAACCTTCTCAAATATTCTTGGCAAATTGAGTGTCTCTGTATGTTAATCCTGTTTTGCTTCCTTTGTAAACTAAAAAGAAACCAGTCACGTTCTGAGAACAATACGTTGGAAGTAACTGTCCATTAGCACTACTGATAATTTGATTACGTTCGATCTTTGCTAACTAAAAGTCTAAAATAGTGAAACAGATTTGTTTTGGAGCCTTAATTATTATCTTTTGTTGTCACAATAATTATTAAATAATTTGTCATTTTTTCTTGTAAGGTGGAAATATACGTCAGCGTTGGATCATAACGTGCGTAAGTGCTTCACAGACCTCTTGTTGGTTTAATGGCTTCTCTTTTGGTCAGAAATTTCGAAAGTTAAAGAGGTTCTGAAGAAGATGGAAGGTTCTGAGAAGTTTTGTCAGCTCTTCTTTCCTGTTTATTGTAGCTTTTTTCTTCTTTTTTTCGTTCATCTTGAGTTTTGAACATTTCAGGATGAGAAACAGAAAAAAATACATTTGTTGTCTTATTTTTTGAAGCATGAAAAATGAGTTAGATGCAAATTTAAAAGTAAACAAGCCATTGTGTTTCTTAGTCTCTTGTGCAAGGAAAACTAACAAAACACTTATCGTTTAAACACTTTACAAACTCTGAAGGACAAACAAAAGAGAATCATATTTTTTGAAGTGATCGAATGAGTGTTGCACCAATTTTTAATGAAATCACAAAGTATGCCAAATCCAAAGAATAAAAAAACAGAAGAATGGATCACAAAGTATGCCAAATCCAAAGAAAACAAACAGAAGAATGGATTGGTGTTACTACAAGAAAACTTACAAATGCCTAACTCTACAATTTTTAGACTTCATCTTTAGATTGCTGGAGAACTCTACTTTTACAAGCTAACTAGCTTATAAATCAAAATATTCCATTCCACAATAAATATCGACTTAAATCAAATGAAAATTATTGAATAGTTCAACCACTTGCTAACAGACATGTCCAAACCTAATTTTTTTTTAAAAAAAACATTATATATATTTTTGAAAAGCGTTTTTAAAATAAATACAAAAAGTAGACTTTCCAATTAGACTTCAATAGCAGACTGAAAATGAAGTCTACTTTGATAAGCTAACTAGCTTAAAAATAAAAAAATCTAATTCCGCAATAAGTATCGAATGAAATGAAATGAAATTCACTGGATAGTTCAATCACTTACTAACAAGCATTTCTAATTCAAAAAATTTAAAAAATACTTTATAAATTTGCCTAAAACGCGTTTTTAAAAAAACTGCAATAAGTAGACTTCTAAAGTAGACTTCTAAAGCAGACTTCAAACGTAGACTGGAGGAGAAGTCTACTTTTTCATAGTGAAATCTACTAAAGAAGTCTACTAAAAACAGGTTATTTTTGCAATTGACCAATCCGTTGACTTTTCCTTCAGTAGACTTCAGAAGTAGACTTCCGGCCAACAAGGTTACTTTAGCATTTGACCAAGCCATTGGCTAACAAAGTAGACTTCTATTGTAGACTTCATGTAAGAGTAGACTTCTCTGACAGTCTACTTTTGAAGTCTACTTTTTCAATAGAATTCTACGGAAAAAAGGTTATTTTTGCAATTGACTATCTTTAGTAGACTTCACAGCTTTAGTAGACTTCACTGTGAAGTCTACTAAAAAAAAGATTCCTTCTAAGTTTGACCGAAAAATATAAGTAGACTTCCCAAAGAAGTCTACAGTTTTTAGACTTCTTTCTGAAGTCTACTGCAACTTTCCGGAGTTTTATGAATTTTTTATTTTTTTTTAAAAACTTAAGTCAAACACTAAAATGACCTATACGTGTTTGGTCAAACTACAAAAGTAACTTAAAAGTAGACTTCTTGTGCAGACGTAAACAGTAGACTTTAGCTAGAAGTCTACATTAAAAAGTCAAAATACGGTCAACTACAAAAATAACCTCTTTTCTTTCGTAGACTTCTTAAGCCTTCAAATGAAGTCTACTATGTTTTTTTTTGTTTTCAAAGGATATCGAGTACACTTCTCGTGAGGTTTAATGAAGTCTACTTTTAAAAAGTCAATTGCAAAAATAACTTTATGTTGACTAGTAGACTTCAGTATACTTCACGAGAAGTCTACTTTCGCGATATGAAAACTGAAATATGGAGAAATTGAAGTGCGACGATTACCTTTAACAAAATTGAGCTCGGCTACAGTTCTTTTAAGCACCCAGAACTCAGGATTTCACCAAAAATAAGCAACCCAGATGTCAAGTAATTAGAAATCACCGAAAATGCATGACTTTTGGCATTGTAACTTAGCCCAGATGTTTTGGAAAAGAAATTATGAAAGAATGAGGAAGGTTATGAGTGAATGAGCTCAAATATTTACTTATTACAGCTTTAAAATTGGTTGAGAAACATTTATTCCATTTTCATGGTTGTTCATGGTGGTTGAAGAAATTGAAGAAGATGGCATTCTCGTAATTAAAAGGTCTTTAGAAGGTCCAATGAGACTTTAGCCAAATTAAAGAAAAATCGAAATAATAGATGTATAATAGCATTTTCGTTAATAGTTTAAGTGAGAAGGATAAAATTGTGAGAAAATGGTAAAAGTTGGAGAGAGAAGAAAAAGAGGTTGGTTTGGTATTTGACTTTAAAATATGGGTTAAATCTAAAACTCAATATGAAGAAATATATATCTTCAACTATTATACCTTAATTATTTATTGCCTAGGGAAAATGATGTATTTTTTTTTTGCTATGAATTAATTAATTTCAGTAGAGTATGTACAATTTAAAAGCTGATCTTTCGTAGAAATGCTAACATATGTAAAATTTACGACGAGATTTTGGCTGCTGTTAAGCCTGTTATGCTAAAATAATAATACTTAATTACTTACTAGTTGATCAATAGAAAAAATTTGGAGTATGAAATGATGGGAAAAAAATAGATAGAAGTTGACGGCTACTTAGGCAATGATACTACTTAAACACGGGTCTTCCTCCCCGGACACACGCAAATGATCCAATAATAATCATTCTCTTCTCTCTATCTCTTATTTATTTCTTGATTTTCTCTGCTCTCTCTCTCTCTCTCTTTTTTTAATTAATCATCCGCTAATCAAAGAGAGAGAGCCTTAATTAAAACCAAGAAATAGTGATCAAGAGAGAGAGATATGGAGGCGGAGGAAGAGAAGGAAAGAAGTAGTAGTATAAGCATGGTGGAGGCAAAGTTGCCGCCGGGATTCAGATTTCACCCAAAAGACGACGAGCTTGTCTGCGATTACCTTATGAGACGATCGCATCATCCTTCTCCTCCTCCTCCTCTTTTCTTGATCCATGTCGATCTCAACAAGTGCGAGCCCTGGGACATCCCCAGTACGTCTTCTTCTACTCAATATCTCTTCTTCTTTTCTTTCTTTCTTTCTTACTTTAAGATCACGTACCTGCTTCTTTACTTTCGATTATTAATTACAGACATGATCATCTAAATAATTCATAATTAAGAAGGGTTTATGTTTTGTTTGAGATATATTATAGCGGATTCACCTTCATCATGATTATATTTGAGATACGTTTTTCCTTTGTGTTCATCATAGTGGTTTAGAAACCAAACAAAAAACAAGATCAAATGCTTATATATAAAGATCGAAGTTAGTTAATCCTTATCGACTAAAAAAAAGTCCCAGCAATATCGTCTACAACCATCAGATACTGATGTCACCTGATAGTTTATTTTATTTTCATTCAAGATATTTTACAATGTAGTCCTCTATATATCATACCATCATGCATTATTCAAACATATACATATAATACTCTCATCCAAATAATATCGAAATTTCTAGAGACACATATTTACATATATTTATATCGAGAAGTTGACACTCTTGGCGTTATCCTCATCCAAATTCTTGAAAAAAAGCTTTGGATATATAACAAAATAAGATAATAACGACGAATAAGTCAGTTTCTAGATTTTGTTGGTTTGTAGCCTTTGAGTACGACATTTTTAGTATTAGCTTACGCCTCTAATGGGTCCTTGATTACTTTTTTTTTTTTAATCAGGATACTGACCCTTCATTTTCATTTTCAGCAGTGTAATAATTATTGAATGCTTAGTCCTCACTCATTTGATGAAGATTTTTTCTATTTATTTGATTAAAACAAAAGTAATATCACTATATACTAATAGATAATATGAAAATTAAGTGGCCCTGAAAAGTGGTTTTGACCACATACTGTTCACTGAGAAAAGTCCATAAAACTCCTAAGACATATATCTAAAAAATTGAGTTCTCTCTGATGTGGTGGATCCAAAAGATACGAAAAGATGTCAAAAAATATTGTGTATATTTCACATACAATTGTTCGCTGTAATCGAGACAAAATAGAGGAAAGATAAAACAACAACGGCAATAGAGAGAGAGTAGTTATTTACCATTTTTTAGTCGAGTCCAACTAAATTACAAATGATTTCTTATGTTTTACATCACTAACTAATATATTAACATATTAACAATAATATTATACCTATAACATTTAGATAATACTTGTTATTATTGTTACCACGCTACCAAATATCGGATAACATGCCAACAAACACTATCTATTATTGTTAACATCTTAATAAATATTTGATATTATTGTTAGCACGTTAACAAATATCATATATTTTACTGCACCATAGTAACAAACTATGTTAACATGTTACAATATTTAGATATAATTGTTAACAAGTAGAAATATTAACATATATCATTGTTAACAAGTATAGATATTAACATATATCATTGTTAACATGTAACAATAAGCATTGTTAACATGTTAATTTGTATTACATATTATTGTTAACATAATCCGGACAAACGATAACACTCATATGTAGTTATCGGATATATATACATTAAAATTAGCAAACGATAACCATAATACATAAACCGTTATTAATTTTATTCAAATAAAATGCAAGTGGATAGGTTCACAAGATTTTTTGTCAGAAAAGCTTATATTCTTGTCGGTTGATACGTTACTTGTAAGTAGGAGTAAAGTGGTGAAGAAAAGAGGACGTGGCAACTGACACTCAATTTTGAAGTATCTTTTGGTACTGAGTAAAACCACCCTTAAAACAAAATAAATTCCATTCATCATACCCATGCACACGCGTGGGATTCCTATTCGATGCCTTGCTTGAATAATCACATATTGATGACACTAATGGTTTGCACTAATTAATAACTTTTCGTAGATATACTAAATAAGTAAAATAGCCGATATTATTGAATATGGTTTAGGGTTTAGAGATATAGTATATTGTTTTGTTTGTTCTTTTTTTTTCAACATATATAGCCATATAACATTTTGTTTCAAAATGATAAGAAATGGCATGTGTGGGAGGGAAGGATTGGTATTTCTACAGCCAAAGGGATCGGAAATACGCAACGGGGCTGAGAACAAACCGAGCAACGGCCACCGGATATTGGAAAGCCACCGGAAAAGACAGAGCCATTCTAAGAAAAGGTAAGCTTGTTGGGATGAGGAAGACATTGGTGTTCTATCAAGGTCGAGCTCCCCGAGGTCGAAAAACTGATTGGGTCATGCACGAGTTTCGTCTCCAGGGATCCTTTGATCCTCCCAATCATTCTCTCAACTCTCCACAGGTAACACACCTCTTTCCACTTCTTGATCATCAATCAATGTCTCTTAATATTAAATGTATGCTGTTGTTTTTCATATGTTGTTGAGGGAATCAGGAAGACTGGGTCTTGTGTAGAGTGTTCCATAAGAATACAGAAAGAGTTTTATGCAGAGACAACACTGGGAGCTGTTTTCATGAGACAGCCTCTGCCTCCCTTCCTCCATTGATGGATTCTTGCATCAACTTTGACCAAGAACCCTCTTCTTACTTCGCTGATGACTATCACTTCATCATCAACGAGCAAGTGCCCTGCTTCTCCAATTTGTCACAGAACCAAACCCTAAACGCAGACCTAACCAGCTCAGTCTCTGAACTCAAGACTCCTTGCAAGAACCCTAACCCTTTGGTTCCTGGTAGTTCACCCCCAGCCACGCTCCCAGGGCTCGACACGTTCTGTTCTTCAGATCAGATGGTTCTCAGGGCTCTGCTCAGTCAGCTCACCAAGATCGATGGAAGCCTCACCTCTAAAGAAACACAGAGTTATGGAGACGGTAGCTCTGAGAGCCTCTTGACCGATATCGGTGCTTGGAATCGCTGATGGTCGAGTGTAACGAGAGATATATTATTCCTATATTCATATTCATGATTGAAACAATATTCTTCAGGGGGGTAATTAGGCGTTGGTGTCCGATTATAGAAACATTTTCTCACTCTTGTACCCCACTATATTCATGTAAAATACCACTTAAGACGCACATGCATTGTCAGGTTTGTACATCACATAAGCAGAACCTATCAAGTTAATTGAGGCTGCTTACTTTCATAGTGTTGCCAATCGGACTTGGAAACCATTTATAACTACTGCGAATGGCACTTTCATAGATATAACACGCTTGCTGTCATTTCTCGAGAAACAAAGTAAACATTTAGGAGGATCACATTATACTCCGCTATATATATTTACTGTTTCATTGGCGGATAGAGTTCACGAGGACGACTGTTGTCTTTAAGTTTAGATGATCCTAGTAAAACCTTATATATCAATGTAGATATAACTCTGTTTTGAGGTATTGGGATACACTCAAATAGGGTACCTATAAGGAGCTGGAAGTCTGCAAAAGCTTTGACGCTGCAGCTAAGCCACTGAGTATGGCACCTTCGACGTTTGGACTGACACAGAAATCTCCACAGATTGCAAGATTCCTGTTTCTATCCCAGAGGCACCTCTCCTCTACGGCTATGCTTTTGGCTGGAAATGCACTTCCCCTAGAGACAACAGATCATTAATCTTGACAAGAGACTACAGAAGGACTATGAGTCAGGATGCTTACCATCTGTGGGCTTTCATGAAGAAGGGGAGAGAACTAACTAGGCCTGAGCACAGAAACTCTTTGAACATCTCCTCAGATATTTTGTGAAGTGTTTCATTCGATAGCTTTTGGAGGCCGGTCTTGGCAATAACACTGTTGGCATAGTCTGGAGTAGAATGCAGTATCCATCTTTCACTAAAGAAATAGAGATAAGAAACCTAATATTTTAGAACACTGAAGCATTCTAAACCCCAGAAATTTGGTTGCAAACAACTCAAATACTGTAACTTTACACTTTTGGTTTAGTTACTGAAGTGATCTACCTATCAGTAGGCCGTCCTGGCTTAGTGCTATCACAATGAGCCCAGCTCAAAATCTGTGAATTTTTGAAAGACAAGCCTTTTGCTGGTATCTGTTCCAAGAATCATAGAATATGCAAACGAAACAAGTTAGCTAGGGCATTTTTTGCTGCAAACTTATGCAGACGAACCCAAACACTTTGGCTAGTAGATGGAACTATCAACATTGATTACACACTGGTCTTACTTACCAAAGACAATGGCTCCTTAAAAGCTAGCATAAGAGAGAAGCATGGAAGGACAGGAATATGTTGCAGCTTAGTCGCCAACTCCGGGACAAGATTTAAGTCTGTGTTAGGAAAGCAAATAAAAGTAAATATAGAGGAAGAATAGTGATTACGGTAAAGTGTAGGAGGACTGAAAGTGTTACCCAGTGGTGGTGGGAGTCCGGTTAATTGAGTAAACCTTGGAGAGCCAATGTTTTTATCTGATGCAACGACTCCATCGAAACGACCCAAGTATTCTCCTTTAGAATCTTTCAACAGCCATGGTAGCTCTTCCTCCAACCATTCCAGCTTGGCAATTCCAGTTCCAAACATACTTTGAACACCTACGAGATGAAGAAGATCACAAAGAGTAGTTGTTTCAGAGCTTTTGAGTTGAATCTCTGTGAGACTAGAAAGATTACCAGATTCGTGGCACAAGGCCTTTGATATAGAGTTCATGCCAGGAACACCCACATACTTGTTTGCATCCCCTTCCTGGACGCCAAGAAACTTGTTGGAGGCACAATCGAAACTCCCAAAAGCTTGTTTCCATAGAGAAACAAGACCTCTGGACTCCCACTCGTGAACAAGAGCCATTGCATCAGAGTTGCTCACAGAGAAAAAAGGAGCTCCATGGTCGAACATCAACTCCTTCCCGTCCTCTCCAATCTCTCTTCTTTGAGACATGCGACCACCGGGACCACGACCGGACTCGAAGATTGTGACGGAGACTCCATTCCTTGCCAGAGTCGATGCGCACACGGCTCCGGAAACTGCTCCGATGTAAATTTAGAAAAAAAAACTTATCTTCCACAATCGAAACACACAAAATAAAGAAAAAGAAAATCAGAGAATGAAAGTGAGAAAACCCACTTCCGCTTCCGATTACGGCGACTTTCATTGCGACGGAAAGGCTGCTCATTTGCTCCTTGCAATCGCCGGCGAAATTGTGGCTGGCCAGTGGCCTCGTCCTCGAAAAAGACTAGATGGGTCTCGTTTGCTATTTTGGCTGTGAAACTGCGTCCCGTTTTCATGTTCTAAAAACCACGGGTCGTCTGTTGACTATTTTGGTCCCAGTTATGTATTTGTAAAATTACCACGTGTGATTTTGGATTGCGTAGAAGAGTTGTGCTTTTTATATTTCAGGATAATATGGCTTTTCTGGTCAAACTAGTAAAAAAATAAAAAAATAAATAGAGAAGTTCTCTACAGTATTGGGCACGTGGGAGGAGAGACAATAAAGAAGTTGAAGCTTGACTGGGTTCCATTGTTCGCGTAACCATCGCACGTGCGATTATCAGCCACCGACCAGCCTTTTTTTCCGATCGTCGTAAATTTTCGCGAGTTCAATTTCCCGACTTTGAAAAATCGCCTCAGGTTTAGTGTTTTTCCTTGTTTTCCTTCAATTTTAAAAAAAACCCAATGTCTAGGGTTTGTGTTGCTCATTGATTCGACTAGGCGGTTTTGTGCTCATCTTTCGGGTATAACAATAATAATAATTATAATTCATTAAAGAGAAAAAAAAGAAAAGGATTTGAGTTAGTTTGACCTTGTTTTGACTTATAAATATGGTTTTGTAACTAGAGAATGCTTTGTTTCAGTTTCAGGTCAATATACATATATATCCCACCATTGAATAAACTAGCTCTGCTTGTGCACTGTGTCCAATGGCACACGTTGAGAATATGAATGTTCTTCAGCCTCCTTTCGATACCAAGTTACGGAATGCTACTCGAGCAAGGATGTAAGATATTGTTTAATTCCTCTGACTCTCTCTCGCTTACCATAATATCTGAGCCCTGCTTAATGTTGATTTGCTATTATCTCCAGCTATGCTTTCTTAGTAAGGAAGTTGAAGATAAGGCCTGAAAAGTTGAAAACTTTGACAGAGCACATAGACAATCACCTTGTGAAGCTGGCCAAATCAGAGGTTCCCTCTTCTACTTAATTTTGTATACTCAAAATTAATGCATATTCGTCCCACTCACTACTCTTGTTGATTGCAGAGGGAGTACTCAGATTTAGGAGATCTTGAAGCCCGCGTATATTCTATTCTCAATAGACTTAATCACTCTATACAGCAGCAGTATCAGCATCAGCATCAGCATCAGCAGCGCCGCCCTGTAATCAGGGCTCAAAGTGTCCATCCCCTGGATAACTCTGCTGCTGCAACTATCCAACATGGAAGCATTACTAACACAACCACTAATCTCTACACTGACGGTGGCAACGTCCATGCAGCTACTGGGCCATATGTCCTGCAAACTCCTTATCAGATGGTTGATGTTTGTAGGCCAGATGTACACCACCAGGTCCAGGCTACTTCTGGCTTCTTCACTAGCAGGAACAGTGCTACTACACCCAGGACTTGTCAACAGCTCCTCACTCCCACTCATTTGCCTATATTATCTCTACCTTTTGGTTCACCTAACCTCTACAGAGGAGCTGTTACGTCATCCGTCTCAATGCCAGTTTCTCAGGGTATTAGTACACTTCCATTTAACCCGAATCCTACGCCGAGAGTTGACGCTAATTACTCACATCTGCAAGGAATGCAACCAACTCCACTGCTACCTTATCAGCTAGGGAATAAGAGGCAACAACTCTTTCATCACCAAGCTCCTCTTGGACAACATTCTCAGCAACAGCTTTATCCTTCTCATCAGCAAGATCATTTACTATACGAGGATGCTTACCGGGCTCAGCCGGCTCCCGCTTTAGCTGCTCCTCTCAAGCATGTACCAAGCTTGGATTCTTACAAACAAGCTCTCCAGCGGCACCCCATAAATGTATTCAAACCATCCAAGTTTCAGCACCAACAGAATGCTGTTAAAGACCACTATATTGGTGCTCAAATTGCATCTGTCAGTACTAGCCAGCTGCAGACTTCTTTCCAACCACATCCTCATGATCAGAAGCAGTCGGCATCAGTCCTGGTTCAAAGGCAGCCTTCTCTACAGAACTCAACTCAAAAAATACCAGAAAACAATTATGCAGAGAGAAAACAAATTGGGGTTAAATTATGTCAAACAGCTCCTCTGCACCGTGAAGCTGTTCACTGCTGCTCGTCTGCAAGAGCGCCTATAAGAGGCCAACCTGTTTCCCCTGAGAGGAAACGTCTTCCGGATGGAAACAATACATCAAGTAAACAGGTCAGCGGAGATCGTACTCGAGATTATGTCAATCAGTTTCGGTGGCTTCTGTTTTTGTTCCATGCTCGTGATTGCAGCGCATCAGAAGATAAGTGTAAGACAACGTTCTGCGTAAAAGCCAAAAAACTACTGGAACATATGCAAAGCTGCAAGATCCCTGATTGCAAATATCCACGTTGTTCTCAAACTCGGGAATTGCTTCTTCATTACAAGGACTGCAGGAACAGAAAATGTCCTCTCTGTCCATGTGTCAAAAACTTCAAGAAGAAGGAAAAAGCGAGAGTTTTACGTCTCCGTGGAGCTAAGCGTAGCTCAGCTAATTTAAACCGTCGGCACAGGGAATCTTCAGAGCCTATGCAAGCATATAACAAAGGAGGTGCAGAAGCTCCATCTATTGATGATGATCTGCAACCCTCAGTTAAGCGCCTGAAAATAGAGCAACTCTCCCAAAATGCCTCTCCTGAGACAGAGAACCATTCAGTGCCAGACTGTAAATCTCATCCTTTGGCTAAGCAAGAGAAAAATAGCGATGACTGCAAAAGTGTCAGAGTTGAGGTTATGCCTATGGACATAGATATTTCTGATGCTTCGGGGATCCCCGTTACCCGGGAGCTGGAGAAGCATGTTTCTAAAGATATTCCCAAGGGTAGAGATGGTGCTGAATCTGCTATGGATGACAAGACTATATGTTTACCAAAGGAAGAGAATGTGAAACCGTGTGAGGACGTTGTAGACGCTTCTAAGATGGAAATCTCCTCACTCGTTGAATTGTTCACTCCAGAGCAAGTCAAGGAACATATCCGCAGTCTTCGTCAATGGGTAGGCCAGGTAAACCGTCAGATTTTAGTTCCTCAAGTAATAGATATTCTTGTTCCTTTGTTTTTTGTTTGTTTTATAGTAACTAAGAATGCAATTGGCTGATACTAGTTTTGCTTTGTTTGTAATTTTATCTTCAGAGTAAAACAAAGGCGGAAAAAAACATAGCAAAGGGGTGCTCCATGTCTGAGAATGCTTGCCAGTTATGTGCTGTTGAGAGGCTTGTATTTGAGCCAATACCTATCTACTGCTCACCTTGTGGTGTACGCGTTAAGAGAAATGCCTTGCACTATAGTGTTGCGGCTGGCGAGTCACGGCATTATGTCTGCGCAACTTGCTACAACGTAGCGCGCGAAAACTCTGTTTCTGTTGATGGAACTTCTATACCGAAAGCAAAGCTTGAGAAGAAGAAAAATGATGAACAAGTTGGAGAAGCGGTACGTATGCCTCATAACTTGTAAAAAATTTCTAAAAAATTTGCGTATTTTTTTTTACCGTGTATCTGAATCAATGGTTTCATGCAGTGGGTGCAATGTGACAAGTGTCAAGCGTGGCAGCATCAAATTTGTGCTTTGTTCAACAGTCGAAGAAATCATGGCGAAGCCACCAAGTACACTTGTCCTAATTGCTATATACAAGAGGTGGAGCAAGGAGAAAGAAGACCATTACCACAGAGTGCCATTCCGGGGGCAAAAAGTTTACCAGTGACTACTCTTAGCAACCATATAGAGCAGCGGTTATTCAAAAACTTGAAGAAGGAAAGACAAGAGAGGGCTAGGCTTCAAGGAAAAAGTTACGAGGAGGTAATCTTATGTTACTCTTTTGATGAATCTTATGTTTGTTTTCCTCTGCTAATTACTGTCAACAGTTTTACGTTTTTCTTCTATTGGATTATGCCCTTCACCAATTCACCTATAGGCTTTGATGGTATCACTGGCAAAGCTTGTCTAGTTTTAGGGTCTTTTGAGCAGCTATTTCTAATACAAACACCATCTACCTTCACTGTTGATATATCAGGTCCCTGGAGCCGAGTCACTTACTGTCAGAGTTGTGGCGTCGGTTGACAAAGTATTAGAAGTAAAGAAACATTTCCTTGAGCTTTTCCGAGAAGAAAATTATCCATCTGAATTCCCTTACAAGTCCAAGGTAGTGATATGCTTCTTTCGTGTATTTTTTATGATGCTTGTTGCATCATTGGCACTTACAAGATATATATGTTTTCTATTTCAGGTCATATTGTTGTTTCAGAAGATTGAAAGCGTCGAAGTATGCTTATTTGGCATGTTCGTCCAAGAATTTGGAACAGAATCTGGACCTCCCAATCAGCGGCGGGTCTACCTTTCCTATCTAGACTCGGTCAAGTATTTCAGACCTGAGGTGCGAACAGTATCTGGAGAAGCCCTACGCACGTTTGTGTACCATGAGATTCTCGTAAGCCACTTTTCCTCTACTTGTTTAGGCTTGCTTCACCGGCCAATGCATTGACTTCTGACTTGTTTCCCATCTGCAGATTGGCTATCTCGATTATTGTAAAAAACGTGGTTTTACAAGCTGCTATATATGGGCATGCCCCCCACTTAAGGGTGAAGATTATATTCTCTATTGTCATCCTGAAATCCAGAAGATGCCCAAGACTGACAAACTAAGGGAATGGTATGGAAATCGACCGCTCTTGTTTGTCAAGTGCAAATGTACATTTTGCTGGCGTTTGTTAATCCTCTCTTTTTTCAGGTACTTATCAATGCTAAGGAAAGCTTCAGAGGAAGATGTGGTGGTTGAATGTACAAACCTCTACGACCAATTCTTTGTCCAGTCTGGCGAATGTAGAGCTAATGTAACTGCTGCGAGGCTGCCATATTTCGATGGGGACTACTGGCCAGGTGCTGCTGAGGATTTAATACAGCAAATGAGCCAAGAAGATGATGGGACTAAGTCAAATAAAAAAGGATTGGCCAAAAAGGTCATATCCAAAAGAGCACTAAGAGCAGTTGGCCAAGTGAATGCCTCCAAGGATCTACTGACGATGCAAAAAGTAACTCTTGTTTTTTTTCTTTTCGTTCTAATTGTTTCATCTTTTGTTCATGCATTCTTGAATAACAAACTGCTGTTATTTGTTTCTGTAGCTCGGTGAGATCATCTGTCCGATGAAGGAAGATTTTATCATGGTTCATTTGCAACATTGCTGCAAGCACTGTTGCACTCTCATGGTATCTGGAAATCGGTGGGTGTGCAATCACTGCAAGAATTTTCAGATATGTGACAAGTAAGACCTCTGCTACATGAATATATGCAGGTTATTTGATAATTATTCAATTAAAATCAACTGTCTTTTTTGACCACAGGTGTAACGAGGTAGAACAGAAGCGCGCAGAGAAGGAGAGACATCCAATCAGCCAGAAAGAGAAGCACACACTATTTCCTGTAAGTTTCTTTGGTGGTAAGAGCTACATAAAGTTTTCATTCTTTCTTTTTGTAGAAAATGACAAAGGTGTGTGGATTCTTTGCAGGTGGCCATCAAAGACGTTCCCATTGAGATTGAGGACAAGAATGACAACATTGAGAGCGAATCCTTTGACAATAGACAAGCTTTCCTGAGTCTTTGCCAAGGCAACAACTATCAGTACGACACACTAAGGCGGGCAAAACATTCTTCCATGATGATACTCTACCATCTTCACAACCCAACTGCCCCTGCATTCGCAACCATATGCACCATCTGCCAACAAGAGGTTGAAAATGCTCAAGGCTGGCACTGCCAAGTTTGTGCGGGATATGATGTCTGCAATGCATGTTACCCTAAGGCGTCTATCGACCATTCACATAAGCTGATAAGCCGTTCATCTGCTACGGAAGCTACTGCACAGCAGAACGGGCAAGCTAATCAAAATTATCAAATCAATCTTAAGACGGTACTGTTTGATAAACTACTACCTACCTATTTTCGGATTTTGTTTTTGTTTTGTGTGTGTAGCTGCTAGAAACGAGTAATAAAGCTCGGTTTGTTGACACTGCAGATAAAAGAACTGCTTATACATGTAGCTGCATGCCGCACTGCACAGTGCCAATATCAAAAGTGTAACATGATGAAGATGCTCGTCAGACATTGTATAGCATGTAAGATTGGTCCTGGAGGTTGCACCAATTGTAAAAGATTTTGGGGTCTCATCAAACTCCATGCCCGCTGCTGTAGAGATTCCCAGTGCACTGTTTACAAATGCAGGTACATAGAGTTGAACATGTTTTTTTTTTTTTTTTTCTATATTGATTAAACCCGCTCTTGGGTTTGTATATAGCTAACTCTTGGGTGTTTGAATCTCGTTTCTCCAACAGAGATTTCAGAGCGATTAGTAGTAGACAACAACAACAGTCAGACAAAAGGCGTAGAGCTGCTGTAATGGAGATGATGCGGAAAAGGGCTGTTGAAGCCACCAACACTTGCTGACTCATCTGATCAAAGACATGCTTGCTGCATTCTCAACAGCATCTATGAAGGGATTCGGACTCTGTTGGTTTTTGCAGTGCTAACCTCAATCTGATAAGGGAGGAAACAAGAAGATATTGTATCGTTGACTTTTGGGGAAATAATGCAAGAAGTAGAAGCAAAGGAGGAGTTTAGTCTTCTTCTCTTCAGCACCATCTAACTATAAGTTAGATTAGAGGTACATATATATACATATAAATATATGCCAAATGAAGAAAGATGTAGTTAGGTGAATCTTTAATTTGATTCGACGAATTTCCGTCTTATTTGTTTATTGATTCTTTGTATTTGGCTGCAAAATTCCATCTTATTTGTTTATTGATTCTTTTGTAAAAAAAACGATAGGCATATGGTAATTTATTTCCCTCAGTAATATCATATTCTACTCCTGGATCATATAGTAAACACCAATAGTTAAGGTTATTTCAAGCCTCACCCTTTGTTTCTAATGTCTGCTTCAATGGTATGTAAAGCTGGTTTCTTGAACTCTGAGTTGCCATTCTTCTTCTCTGCAAAAAAAAAAAAAAAAATCGAGAGATTAGCAACGAAACAATAAATAAAGTGTCTCAGTTGACCATAGAAGAAGTAAAGTTTGATGTGGAGGACTGGAGGTTGGCTCTACCTTCCTTTCTCTCGGGCAGACACTTGGCTAGTCTATATTTCTACACCAAAAAGACAGATTTCGAAGACAATTCAGCGTTATGTAATGTGTCAGATTCAACAGATTGAGTAGGTACCTGCAAGTGGCTTTTCACTTGATAAATTGTCAAACCCTCAACATTCACCAGCTTCATAACAGCCTTAGGAGTTGCCTCTACATATATTATGAAAGCAACGCCTTCTTAGAGAGCGTTGACACTCACCTTTCTAGCTAGAAGAAGAGAAACATATATATAGATGCTAACTTACTCTCAGGCCCTTGAAGCTTCTTCACGGTCTCAAGAAAACACTCATGAAGCTCAGGACTTGTTTGTGGGCCACTGCTGATCCTGCAGAAGGCTGGGACAAAACTGAAGATGTCCCAACATTCAATGTGTATAGTTGATCATAGCATTGCATTTTACCACTGGCCCCAACACAACACAAGGCTGGGACAAAACTGCTGATCTTTGTGTATATTTATCCACTTGCTTGCATTGCATTTGTGTATAGTTGACCCATTCCTTCCATGAAGGTTAAAACATATCAAAGGAATCAAGTGTGGTTGTGTGATGTCTTAAACCCTGAAATATGATAATCTCTAACTTCGTAACAATTTAACAACATATTTGAACTCTAATTAATTCCGTTTTTAATATTTAGTTTCGACCAAATCAGTTCTTTAATCTTTTGTGCTCGTTAATGCTGACCAACTCTGTCATATCACATCACAGTTCACATGTTTGTGCATCTATCCAATGCACAATTGCGCATACTGTACATGTCTTTTATTACAGTGTGGCTTGATCAAACATAACTATTTTTTTCCCAAGTCGCAAATTAGAGTGACTCTTTCGATGTATGCAATACACACAATTATGTTGTTGTTTTGTAAAGTTGTCTTATTCCCCAAGTTTCCTTTAACACAAACTGCAAGATTTACACCAATCAATGAAAGTTTTCAGCTTTGGGGCCCTCAACCTTTGTTTTGTTGTTTCTTCTTTGTTTCTCCACATATTAGCTTTGTAGAAGTATGGTGATTGTATTAGTGATTGTGATTGTGAAGGATTCTCAATAGAGTCAGTCTTTGCCTTATGGCCCTTATCCATTAGAGAATCAAGAGATTCTTTGTAGGGACACTTCATTTCTTTCGTATATATATATATATATATTTTTTTTTTTTGAAATAAAAATGAGAGATTCTCCTTTTTTATATGTATATGTGATGCCTGATTCTCATAACTTCATATATATATATGTGGCTTGGCTCAGTTTGTGGTTTTAAATCAGATAGAGTCTGACCTGTCAGTATAATTACTAATGTTTTTCTCTGTGTGTGTGTGTGTATAAATTGCATCAACCAATTAAGTACTAGTGTACTACTGGTTCACAAAATTGAGAGGCCCATTGATTCAAAGGGAGGGCGAAATTGTAAGAATAGGAAACAGAGGGTGAAAGAGAAGAAGACACAAAATGCGCGGGCAAGAGAAAAGATAAAAGGAGAGAAAAAGCAGAGTCCCCGAATCCGTTGGCTTGGTCGCTCCGCAACTGGAACAAGCCCATGACTTTCCCGGAATCGGGCGTTGTGCACGCCACAATCACACAATAAACCAATGAATTTTTATGTATTTCAATCGATATCACAAGCTTGCAGATTTGGGATTCGATGAATAGCGTACCCAACTGGTCTTCGTATTTCTCCTCCGACGAGTTTTCCCGGCGAGCTGTTTTCGATGGAGGTGGCGCTGCTTGCTATTTCTGGGCCACCGCGATTTCGCTTCTCTTCATTCTTCTCTTTCACTTATTCTGTTCCGCTAAATTTCGCTTCTTCGACTTTGCTTCTTCCTCTTCCTCTTCCTCTTCTTCTTCTCCTTCACATGCCGACTCAGTTTCCCATGCCCAATCTAGGTAAAAAGTTTTAATCTTTTTTTTTTTTCTTTCCATTTCTTACGTTTCCTGTTCTCTGTGTTAGATCCTTCTCCATGAAAAAAACTTTGTTTGCTTCTGATATTGTACGCGTTTTGCTTTCAAATTTTCAAACTTTAAAGCGTTTTGCTTTGAAGGATTCTGCTTGAGAATGGCTCTAATATTTAGGCTCATATAATTGACCGATCGGTAACACTAACACACGAATCAACTTAATATCGTCTTGATGTGTGTGATTAGTAGAATTCTTATTCTTTTTGCATCTGTACGATTTCGGTTACAGTTATCTAGAACCGTTAAGTCATCTGATTCTCCTACTTTTCCTCTATATGCTTTGAAGGATATCCAGACTAGTCTCTGATGAAGATTTGAAAAGCCTGATCGAACATCTGGAGGAAAGAAATGAGGCTGCTGAGATCTGGGAAAATGTTATTCACAAAAGCAACGATCGCATTTCATACACTGCTAAACGCTGCAAGCCACAAGTAATTCAAAACTTAATGCGTGTTTCGTAGACATTCTCACTTTTCACAGTCTCTTAGCTGGATTTGCTTTTACTCTGATGACTCTGAATGCATAGAAGCCTTGCTTGTTTTTAGGGTGGTGGTCCTATGCAGTACCTAAGTGTTACCGTATTTGAGGATTGCTCCGCAGAGATTTTGAGGGACTTTTACATGGACAACGATTATAGGAAGCAATGGGATAAGACTGTGGTTGAGCATGAGCAATTGCAGGTTGACAGTAATAGTGGAATTGAGATTGGTCGCACAATTAAAAAATTTCCCTTGTTGACATCGCGGGAGTACGTACTAGCTTGGAAGTTGTGGGAGGGAAAGGACACGTTCTACTGTTTCACAAAGGTAATAAATCATCAACTAAAACTTGTCTCTTTCACGGACGGATCTTGACAAATTAACTTGAATTTTTTTGCCTCATCGGTTATTTGCTAGGAATGTGATCACAACATGGTACCTCGACAGAGGAAGTATGTACGTGTAAGTTATTTTAGATCTGGTTGGCGGATCAGGAGAGGCAAGTGGTTTGTTTATCCATAATGGAACTTAACAGTTATCGTATGAATAGACCATATAATCAGAGATAGATTGGTCGTGGTGAATTGGTTTTCTTTTCTGTCTGTGCGTTTCATCATTTTTTCTAACTTTGATGCATTACTGCTGCAGTTCCCGGTAGAAATGCCTGTGAGATCAAAATGTTTCACCAGGAAGATGCTGGGCTAAATGTTGAGATGGCAAAGCTCGCTTTCTCGAAAGGCGTTTGGAGTTACATCTGTAAGATGGAAAATGCGCTTCGTAAATACATTGCAATCAGTCATAGACCCCAGGTGGCCATTCTGTCTGCTGTCAGCTTAATAAATAAGGTGAGATGTTAGTGATCCCCGGGATTTCTGTTACTGTAAAAATGAACTCAACTGTCCTGAGATTGACTATGCCTGGAAGCAACCTGTTTGGTCTTGGCCTCGGTTTCTTTGACATCCTCGTTGTTCCTACAGGTTCCATCAGAGTTAGAAAGCCAGACAGAGGATGTCACAGCCTCCATGGGAACTAGTAGTGGTGAAGGAATAGTGACTCATGTAGCCAGACAGAAGAAAGTATTGAGAAAGCCATCAAAGAAACTGATAACAAATGGTCTGGTTCTTGTGGGCGGTGCGATCTGCTTGTCCCGTGGTCACTCAGCCTTAGGTGCTAAACTAGCATTGGCTTACCTCTTGACGAAGCTGAACAAACGTGGAACTCCTCTGAAGCAGACCACCCAGAACACCAGGAGTTAAGTAAGACTCCTCTTATCATTGGGTTAGAGAAAGGTTTTTGCGTTAGCAATGGCTCTGACCACGTGAGCTCTGGTAGGTTTTGGTCTTCAAAGTGTTGTACCTTTAGGGGAAAGATTTGCATTTTGTGTTCATATGGTTGTAAAAGTTTGTGTAATAGGTATTCTTTAGTTTAAAGTCTATATTACAAAATTATTATTATTCTTCCTGTACCACTTCCCCATGTAATAATATTTGCTCAGTTACAAAATTTACAGCAGAAATAGTCTCTTCCTCTACCACTTCCCCATGATCATTATTATTCTTTTCTCACACTTTCATTTTCAGTAATTGAATGTTCATCAGAGACGGCGTTATTGGCTTTGTATTCTTGGTACAACGAGTTCCGCTCATGCTGGTTACCCTCTAATTCTTCCTCACTGCTCCATTTTCTTACGAATTTGGGAACCATGTTTCTTACATCGCGCGACTCAGAAACTTCAACCATATCATTAACTCTTTCAAACCGGACTGCACTCACTTTTCTGGCATTCCCAGCTAGTATCTGTCCACAAAGGGAGTCAGAGAATAAAGAGATGCTTTTTGCTTAATATGGTGCAAAAAGAAAAGTGCTATTTTTGAGTCGATCTACCTCTAGTCTATAAATCTGGTACTTCTCCTTCTGATCTTGACGCTCGTGTTTACCCTCTTCTTGTTCATTATGCTCTTCCCAGTTTTCCTTTTCGAGGACTACCGTCACACTCTCACCAGTCTTTGGGATATACCCAAAGGCCTCACATACAAAACCTGAGACTGTTTCGTACTGATGGCCCTGCTTGCAAATAACCAAATTTACGGAATAAAGGGATTAGCCACCAAGCAACCTTAAAGATCTGTTCTGTTTTCTAGAGGGACAGATTAAAGAGTAGATTACCTCTGGCATCTTCATGTTGAGTTCTTCAGATAACTGGTCAATCGAAGTGTTGGCATCAACATCATATATCCCCTCAGCTCTCATCACGATATAACCCGTTTTCTTCTGAATCTCCTCCTACATAGCCCAAGATAATGGAAGTGAGAAACAACGTCAAGTAATAGACCCAACCCTTGAAGCATATAAGTCTAATATTTCAGCAGCAGTTTAAAATGAGGACACACTTGCCTTTGAATCGTTTTCATCAAATATTTCACCAACGATCTCTTCGACCACATCTTCGAGAGTTACTATCTGCACGGATAAATATTAGACAACCTTGCAAGAGAGAAAAAAATAAATAAAGTATAGAGGAGGAACATACTCCAATGGTTCCGCCGTATTCGTTAAGAACAACTGCCATGTGAACTTTTCTTATTCTAAACTCCCTAAGAAGATTCCAAACCGACATTGAATCTGCAAATATTGACTTGAATCAAATTTCCTTCAGTGTGAACAAATAATGCCTAAGGTTTCGATATGAAATTAAAAGATTGAATGCAATGGTTATTACCAGGGACAAAATATGCAGGTTTATGTGCCATGCCCACTAGGGTTATACTTTCTAGCAGTTCACCCTTCAAAACAAAAGAGAAGATATGAAATTCATTCATCACAAGTGCACAACTATATGTTGTCCTCACACGCCGTCAATGAAAGGAAACGAATACAAGAAAGAGAAATAGAAGCAGCCAGACCTTTGGGACATAATCTAGGAGATCCATAGCATATGCAATACCAACTATGTTATCAATCCTCTGCTCAAAAACAGGAACCCTGTGAATAAAACCTTTGAGCATAACGAATAATCCTAACGTTCATTAAAAAAAGGTTTAATTGTGAAAATTTAGGAGACCTTGAGTACTGATGGGTCACCCAGAAATTGTGGAAATCGACAAGGCTGCCTCTGCCATCTATGGCAACTACATCGACAAGAGGAGTCATCACCTCTCGAACATGTGTATCCTTTATCTCTAACACATTTTCAATCATATCCTGCAACGTGAATCATTTGAATTTATCACAAGTTTATGGTACAGACTCATCGAAAAACTAACCATACTAAAACACAAATTCATACCTGCTCTTCCTCTTCTATGGCCCCACTTAATTCTGCACCACGTAGCATCAGTTTCAGTTCATCTTCAGTAACAAATGGCTCACTGACACAAAAAAGAACAAGGAAAGATGGATTGTATATACAGACATATATATATATATATATTGATTTGGATAGACAAGTACAATCTTGAATGAATCTGAGGCGTACCTTCGCCCTTTCAAACCAAGGATTTTCAGAATTCCCATCGAAAGGTATGTCACAACTCTCCCAACAGGATATAATATCAAGGAAAGCCACGCCACTGGTCTGACCTAGAGGCACAGTAAGACAACATAAATCAAGAGTATTTCGTCTCATCATATTTGCCTTTGCTGATGATAAGTGATTAAAACTTACCACAATCCTTGCAACCTCTTGAGCATTGTGAACCGCTACACTTTTTGGAGTTATTTCAGTCAGGAGTAATATGGCAACCTGTGATCGATCGTTCAAGAATCAAAAACCTACCTCAGTCAGATTTTAGAGGAATAAGTAAAAAAATTTAGACTTACAGTCATCAAACCAGTAGCTGCACTAACACCAGCTTCACCAAAAATAGCTGTTGCCGCTTCCGTGACCAGGGCAGTTGCAGCAATATTCACAACACTAAGAAGAGAGGAAAGACCTCAGGTTAGAGACCTAATTCTTTTTCAACCAAAAAACAAGATTCAAACTAGTAAAAGAAAAGCAGCACGTTGTTCCAATAAGTATGGTTGTCAAGAATCTGGTAACATCACTGCGCAGCATTCTAAAGACCCCATTTTCGGGCTCTTTTTCAGCCAGCTCACGCACCTGAGACGGAATTAAAAAAACACATTTCAGAAAGTGTCGAAGAGCTTATCATTTCTAATGACTTGATTACCTTCCAGGGCCAAAGAGTGGTGATGGAGGTCTCTGCCATGGAGAAGAATGCTGATAGACCGAGAAGCACAGCTAAGATAAGACCTTGTTCTCTAAGAAGCTTAAGAACCTGACAAGTTTTTGGCCAAGCATTCTTCAACAAGAGCAATACGCTCTGACCAAAAGCGTCATAATTTGTTGATGCTTTCCGGCTGCATCCATATAACAAAACTCCAAACACCAAAACGAAAACTGGGATTCCTCGTTTCAGTAGAGTCTCAAGCGAACCAGCTTCCTCGCCGGAATCGGGACTCGTCGCGCTATACACTAGAAACCGGCTTCTGTGGCTATGTTTAGGTTGTTCACAACATCTTTGACGGAATCTAGTAAAGCTCAAGCTGGAGGGATTAGAGGAGGAGACACAGAGTGTGATTGTAGGGTTGTATCTCTGAACAAGTCTTACTGAATTTTGATATTGTCGAGTGGTGGCAATGACAGATCGGCCAAGAACCGATATGTCAATTGCCATATATGAATTGGAGAAGACAAGTGAGGAAATCTCACACCTTTTCGATATACAACAAAGTATCTCCTTTTCAATTCTCAGAGTGTAATTTAAGGAGATTCATGTGTTTGCTCGAAGAAAGGCACAGCGAAGGAGGGTTAAAAAAAGAAGAGAATTTTGCGTTGTTGAGCCATCATACCAGACCGGTTCAGTTTCTTGGTTAACTGTTTAATTGGTTCGGTACACTAACGAATGTTGGTTTAATGACAAATTACAAGTATTTTTTATTTTAGATTACATAATCAGACCAATCGGTCAAATACGATGTCTGGTCCATGGTCAAACCGGGAATCTTATAAAGCATTTTGGGATTCTCTTTCCCACCAATCAATCTCGCCGGGTTTCCAACCGCCGTCGTACGCGGCGGCACATCCTTGAGCACCACCGAACCCGATCCAATCTTAGCTCCATGACCGATTGTAATATTCCCCAATATACAAGTCCCGGCTCCGATCAAAACTCCATCGCCAATCTTCGGATGCCGGTCGCCGCTCTGTTTCCCTGTTCCTCCGAGCGTCACGCCGTGGAGAATCGAAACGTCGTCTCCAACCACCGCCGTTTCTCCGATCACCACCCCCGTCGCGTGGTCTAACAAAATCCCTTTACCGATCTTCGCTCCCGGATGAAAATCGACGGCAAAAGCTTCTGATACTCTGTTTTGGATCAATAAAGCTACCATTTTTCTGTCTTGCGTCCAGAGCTTGTGGGCGATCCGATGAGCTTGACAAGCGAGGAAACCTTTGAAGCTAAGGAAACAATGGATGTAGCTTAAGCAAGCTGGGTCTCTTTCTTTTACTGCTAATAGATCTTGCTTCACCGATCCGATGATCTCTGGGCTTTCTTCTAAAACGCTGATGAACAATTCGAAGAGTGTGTTGCATGGTAATGTCAAAGTGCTGAGCTTTACGGAGAGGATGTGGGCCAAAGCGGAATCTAATGATGGATGCGACGTAATCGAAGAGTAATAGTAGCTTGACAAAATGGGTTCTCGCTCAACGTCGGATTTTGCTTCTTCCTGCATCTTGATCCACACATCATCGATTTGAGTTTTCCCGCGTGAAATCCGATCAAAGAAACAGGGTCGGAAGGAATGGAACCGTGAATCATCGTCTTGTGTCTTTCCGGTTCTGCAAGTGTCGATGCACGGTGCCATTGAATCTTTGGTTTTGGGAGGAAGACAAGAAAAGAGAGGATGGCTGTGTGGAGAGGAAGATGAACAGAGCTTTATATAGAGTAAATTTGGCTTCTACTATATTCCTTACTGAAAATGAGGTTGAGGTAAATGAATATACTATTCTTTATTTTTATTTTTTTCATTCTGAAATTTGTGTTAATTAATAACTCAAACAGTTTTGTTAACTAAATTTTGTTTTGTTGCTAATGTGAGACACATTTAAGACGCTTTTTTGTAATTTTGCTTGAATGGTGGTAGAGTTTGTTGTTATTAATATGCTTATCTACACATTTAAGGCTCATCAGTCATCACATGTTTTTTTTGTGCCACCTACTTTTGTATATCAGTATCGTCAACCTCCTAATTTGTTTTTATTATCTACATCTACTTAAATGACTCATTCAAAGTAAAAATCAAAATATATACTAATGCTTTTCAGATAACTTGAAAATACAGAATTTCAATCCCAACATTGAGAACAGTAGTAGTATGTTTGGAATCTGTTAATTAATGACAAAAGAAATTATTGAGAAAATTGAACCCGGTTTGTAAAGCTAAAAAAGAAAGAAAATGGTTGCTAAGGAATAGTAGAAAAAAGGTGACGTTTGTAGTGACATGTCTATGTTTGTCCTAAAGTTACGTGAAGCCATCACCCTTTGACTCGAAGAGTCCCTAGATTACAGGTTATCTGAATCTAATCATATTTATCGTTCTTGTAGTTAATATCTGATTAATTTGATTTTACTTGGAAATATTTTAATTAAGTAGTACATTCTTTATTCTTTATCTGATTTTGTTTTATTCAGAGCCTCTCCTCCACACTAACACCAAGAGGAAGATCAAGTTATCAATGAATCGATGGTCTGAGCATTGCGGCTAGAAAACATCTATCATGCGTTAGTGGTGTGTCCTGATTTTAAAATGGATTGGAACCTATATCATCCTTAGTAGTAGATGTGCTTCTTGGTCGGTAAATGGCATTTGCATTAGTATTTCTTGTGGCGTCCGGAAACATCACCTTTTAAGGATACTGGATATCTCCCGAATAGTGCCTCAAGACTCTACTTTCATAGTCACTTCACTTTTAGAAGGTGACAAATATTTTTGCAATTGTCTAATGCTAGCTTCATAAATATATGGTAAGCTCCTATTACAGTAAAAAATGAAGAAATAAAATTAGGTGCAATGACCATCTTGAGGCTCCCTCAAGGACTCCTTCAAGTGCCGACATTTGGTGCACGAGTCGACAATGGTTGTCCATACGAGTATCTCCACTGACCACAAGCCTCACATTTCTCCAGCTTCACCTCGTTTTCAAGCGTGCAGAACTTGCAAGACCAGACTTTGTACTTCGTCTCCCTTTCCTTTGGCTTTGCTGCAGTGCACAGCTCGCATACCGGAGCCAACAACTGCCTCCCAAGAAAACAAGACAGAAACTGAATAACGGAATAGGATAGCAGGAAGCTTCAAGTTTCGATTCGAAAAACATACAATCTCCTGAGGAAGTAAAATATTTGAAAGACTTACCGGGTTCAATAAGGTGCATTCTGCACACTCCCACATTGCAGATTCTTCTCTGCCTTGGTTTGCATTGTAACCGGTCGATGGCGAAGTTTCTGATGCTTTCATGAAACCAGAGCTCGGTTCATCATTGGAGGAAGAAGAAGGACCCTGATCGCCTGGGCTGCAATTTCTTTTAGTACATCTTGTTTCAGAAGCTTCTTGTGTTAAATCAATGACATCTGATCCCCACTGATGACTGGAAGATGGAGGGTACGAATTGGCGTTTGACCAGCTGCTGCATCTTTTTACTGACCTTGAATTCAAGCTCGTACAAGTTTCCCTGACGGAAACAGGTGACTTACATGTATCACCATCATTCTCTTCGTCTTCAAAAGCTTCTGCGGATTGGGAACCACACCAGATATCATCAAGTAAACGCCTTTCTGCAGCCATTGCAGCAGCCTGAA